GCGCCGGTTAATTTCAGGCGACCAACCAAAATTTGATCGAAAATTTCCTCTTAAAAGTCCCTGGTACATGGTCAAGTTTCAAACTGATTACCCGTACCCCCTCCGATTGATTACCCACCCTTTCACCCGATGAAACTCCACCCGGTACTGGTATTTTGAATATTGGCATCGGGGTACTACCCACCACTCAGTACCCCGAGTGACATGTACCCCCACCACCCCATCCAATGTACCCCCTGTGCATGAATGCTCGATGAAATGACCCACCCCGTCAATTTGAACAGAGCCCATACTACCCTATCTCCTATCCTCCGCCAAATATATTTAAGTACCCCTTCAAACTATGAGGACCCACCAGGTCCACTGTTTCACTACCCCACCTATCCCATGTCCGTTGTGTTTCACTACCCCATTTATTGGAAATCGTCAGGCAGAAGAGCAGGGGTACCCCACCCACTTCCCGCCATTCCTCTCGACATGGCTAGGACGGGGGCAGATGAGGGAGAAGGAGATGCGCGGCGGTGCCTGAGGATCTTACACTTCGAACTTGGACTCAGACTAGACTACCAAGAGATCCCTCTCCTCCTCCTCTTCTCCTCTTCCATAGTCATGCTTGCTATCCCTGCATACCATGATCTCAACGTTCCTGCAATTCATTCCATGTGCTTCGGAATGACCGACCCAACAACTGTGACGTGCCCGATTGTCTGTGCGTGTCTGAGATCCATCTTGGCACATGCCAATGAGTTGGACAGGACGCTTCTAAGTTCCCAATGTTCATCTTTTCGTGCACTTCCCTGCGAGCTAAGATCCTGACACCTTGTTCGCTGTGAAACGAGGAAACCTGGAAGCATACTTGGATGTCACTTGTTGTGTTGCATCAAACTCAAGGACCTGCGCAAATCCATCGTTGGATGTCTGGCACTTCAATAATTGATCTCTATCGGACTCTGATGCTTCTTTGTGATGATCTCGCATACCTCGATGTTTTGTTTTGTTCGCTGAGGCCTTTTTTTTTTTCAGCACGGCAAGAACTTGTGTGGAGACGATCATCTGCATATGCCTTCTCTGTTAGCTCCTGGACCGTAGAAGAGTGGACATGGAAACTGAGGTACTATGATGACTTCAGAAATCAGGGTTTTTTGAACCGAAGTCCAGGGCTTCGTGACCGTTGACGATAAAGCGGCGAAAGCTGCAGAGGAAGATGAAGTTGACGATGAGGAATGGACGGATTTGGAGAGGTTTCAAAACTTTGTAACCAGTCAACATCCATTGCGAAGACTCGTGTGTGTCCGGGGGCTGCCGGACCTCGTTAACAGCCTTGATATCACGGTATCATCGCAGCAAGCTTCACACGCTCTGATCGAGCGATTGCAGGACGTTGTGCAACTTATCTTGCAGCCGTTGCAAGCTATTCTCAACGATGGCGAGAGCAGCGTTCGAGATGCGCTGGCTTCCAACCTTGCCTCGATCGTCAAGAATGTCATGGAGAAGGAGAACTTGACCGATGTAGAGCAGTTCGTGGAGTGCATCTGGTCTGTTTCGTTCCCGCTCATCATCGATCAGGATCAGCAGGTAAAGTTTTCCCTTGCCCCTTGTTTGCCTTCCTTGATGAGACTCGGATGGTGGCAGGTCAGGGCGGTCGCCGAGGACGGGGTCATTGAGTACATATCGTTGATTCCCGAAGACTTGGTGAAAAGCATTATGCTAGATAGCATCCTAGGGCTGGTTGAGGTACTTGGTTGCTCTTGGGAGACATGATTCGTCCTGATTGCTTCTCCAGCAAGAGTCGGAAGACGATCGAATCACGGGAATGAAGCTGCTAGGGGGTATGCGAGACTGGCCGTCTTGTGCGAGGCGAGTAACTCGAATTGAACACAGAGATCTCGTTCAAACTTGGCCATGCGACGGTCAAAAGCTCAGTTGGGCCGAAGGTTGCTCAATGCTAGTTGACCCATTGATCTGAAGCTTGCCTTCATAAAGGTCATCAATCTAGCTGAGGACTCAATGTTCCGAGTTCGGAAAGCCGCTGCTTTGTACATTGGGAAAGTCAGTCGGTGGGGCAGCAGAGAATATGCCGTTGATGTAAAGCTTTTGAGATGTCGTTGCTGATCAGACCTTTGAATGTATGAGACCAGGTTCTTTTGCCTGTTTATCTCAAATTGGCCGATGATGAGATATGGGGAGTCAGAAAGGCTTGTGCAGATAGTCTTGCTGACATGGCTGCATCAATAACAAGTCCTGACCCGTCTCATTTTATCTCTGAGTTGACTTGCTAGCAGGCGAAATGAGGGGAAAGCATATCTTGCCGCTCTTTGACAAGCTTGCGACTGATGTATCAAGATGGGTAGGATCTGGATCTTGGTTTTTTAATTCAAAATATGCTTACCGAAATTAACAGGTTCGCAATGCTGCATTTCAGCACTTGGGTCCTCTCATTGCCACACTCTCAACTGAAGAAGTGACGCCAAAGTTGCTGCAGGTAATGATGTGATTTGTGACAGCTAACATGTCATCCTACCCTACCAATTCTTATCGTTCGCTGATACGCTTTGTATCAGTATTATTCATCGATGGCAACTGGAAAGGGACAATCAGTTACGGCTGATCACGATCTGCCAACCTTCTGGTGCCAAAATCTATCTGCTATTCTCCATGATTTTTGACTGTGTGAAAGTGCATACAACTTTCCTGCTGTTGTCATGACAGTCGGCAGAGAGAATTGGGTTCACCTACAAGAGGTGTGGAACGAGAGCGAGTATCAGGCTGTGCTGATTTTGTATCTTGGGTGAAGGCCTACCATGAGCTCATCAATGACATTCAATGGAAAGTTCGCCGGACGCTATCATATAGCATTCACGAGATAGCGCTGATTCTGGGCCCGGAACTGACGCAAGAATCTTTGCTGCCAGCATTGGATACTTTCCTGCAGGTGCTTGAAAATTGATGCGTGTGTTTTGCAATTCGACTAATGTTGGTGTCGAAGGACCTCGATGAAGTCAAAGTTGGTGTGCTTCAGGTTGGTTTCATTGTTGGTATCAGATGTTGGTCGTAACCCTTCCTACAAGAATCTTGCAAAGTTTTTCAGAGTGCTCGATCCAAGCATGCGAGAGAAGTACGTTTCTGTGCTCTGCAATATAGAGATGGAGACCTACAAGTATTTTGATTCCGAGTTTGTTCATGGCCACCTGATGTTTGTTGGAAAGCTGGAGGTTTCGACTTCTGCTTGCGCAGCAACTAGGGGAACTTTTCAAACTGTACGAAGAAGAAATTGTTAAGGTGTACTTCAAACCTTTGATCCTTGCCTTGCTGACCTTGATGGAAAGAACGAGCTTTATCCGATGTTCATGAAGCTCTGTCGGGACCCTGTGGCAGAGGTTGCGGGCTTGAATGCTGGTAGACATCTTGTGACTAGGCTCAGGTCCGAAACGCATCTTGCAACCAGATCGATGCAATATTGGACCGCATCGATGAGCTCAAGGTGGATTGGCGAGGTCTGTCAAGACATTGTTGGCTGCGAGTGAGAATGCTCATGTTTGGATCAGACGAGTTTATGGAAGAGCTGCACGACCTTGCGACCGACCGATCCTTCCAGCATCGGCTCATGTTCGCTCAGATGTGCGGGGTGCTCCTTTCTTCGGCAGCTTTGAAAGTCAAGGTAAGGCTCATGCTTGCAGGTGCAGTAGCCCTTGACAGAGCTGCAACTCCTGCAGACATTTGAAAATGATTTCTTGAATCATTTGATGCCTCTCGCTGAGGACAAGGTACGTGTGATGCTGTTCAAGTTTGCATCGCACACACTCATGTAAGGGCAGGTGGCGAATGTGAGGAAGAAGACTGGCAAATGCTTCCAGATCATGAGTACCTTGAAGGGGTTCTCAAACGAATCCAGGATTCAGGCAACGCCTGTCCTCATCTACTATGAACATTGCTGACTGATGGAGTCAGGGAGTCATAAAAGCCCTCAAGAACGACAAGGACATCGAAGTTTTGCGCACGATGGGGATCGAGATGGACGTTGGCATAACAGCTCAGAAGTACTCGTCGAACAGCATATCGAATGACTCGGAGGTGGGAGCCTTTGCAAGCAATTCGTGTATTCAGTCGTTAACTTTGCGTGATGTTGCAGATCAATTAGATGAGCCCTGGAAGCGATTGTGAAAATTCAATGTGATACCCTGTCCTAAACATCTTGTATGTCTCGAATAAATGAAGAACGAAATTCTTCGTTCTCTCATCGACACATTCCCAAAGAAACCTCCTCCTGCCTGATCTGCGATTTGACTCTTGAGCCTGCCTGGACACCTCGGGTCACAACCTCGATAAAATGAGATATGTAGGTAAAATCATGTCCAAACAATGACCCTCGTCAACTATTCTTTTGTTGCTGCAATGAATTCCGGCTTGATATCCTCTTAATACACATCTTTATCTTATGAGACTCTCATGCTATTCTTTTACGACTGATTACCTGCCATGTTTCTTCACAATCATGATACATCTTCCAACTATGCTGATGTTCTTCTATGCATGTTTGGTATTTCTAACTGGGTCTCACATGAAGTGCACTCAAATATACCTTTCACTCTCTTGCTCTCTACAGCCTGTCCATGGTGAAAGCGATGTATCTCAACCAGCCGTTTCCCATCTCTTCCATCTTCGTGCTCCTTCTTGTGCTCAACACACACCCGCACCCTATCGAGCAGTTCATGATCGTTGATCAATGAGAAATTTCATCATGATCCTGCATGCCGCTGATTTCATGCCTTCCCATGGACAGCCCCCCTCCCCCCCCTCGCTTCTCCTGCTCTGTTGCTGCCCCGGCGCTTCTGTTCGTCTTCTTCCCCCCTTTCCTCTGCCAGGGAGCCACAAGGGTATCACCCCGTACCCCACAATTTTGAAGTTGAATAATTATTATGGTACTGCTGAAAAGGTCACAGGCCTATTCCACATCAGGCTCTCCTACCCCATTCCCACTTCCCATCCTATTATTTGACTTATTTTCATGGGGTCTGAACCCTCTCTATCAGAAAGCATCACGAGATACACGACAACTGGCGTTTAACCTTGAAGTCCGTGGGGTGGGGGTCATAATTACCACCCCTGCTAGTAAGGTTAAGATAGGGGGGTGGGATCCGGTGTATCAATCTGCAGGGAGATCTTAAGGGTAGGGGTTGAAAAAAGTTTTTTTTTAAGTGGAAGGGTCGCGGCTGCAGAGGAGAAAAAAAATTGAAAAAACAAAAAAAAATCTCGAAGCCCACAGATAGTACTGGAGTGGCGCACGAGGCTCAGATCGGAGCGGGGGTGCTTGGAGGGTGAAAGAGTAGTGGGTGAGGGTGGGGGTGGTTCGAGGGGCTGGAGTGTATCTGAAGTTGAATGATGCACATGGAGGGGGTGGGGTGGGTATGGGAAAGGGGGTATAGAGAGGTTTGTGGATGCCGATGGATGCGCGATCAGCCCGCCTCGGATCATGCCGAGCTGAAGAAGCCTTCCATTTGAAAAACGGGTGAATACATGACTGTTAACTTGAAATATTTATGGAAACATTTGAAGTATCAACGAATCCTCAAATCCATTGTAGTTTGTATCGCATTTGTCGATATTCCATTAGTAACTAAAATATTAATACCCACCCCTCCATTTTAAAATTATTCTATACGTAAAACTATTTTCAATTTTCGATGAGTTTGAGTTTTAGAAGTCCTCCAGGTCCTTGAGGGGGTGGGGTGGTAAAGGATAGACAAGGGGTGGTTTGATTATCCAGGGCTCCAACCTTTGTACGTTTTTGTACCCCGATTACCACCCTGCATTTGACAGCTGCAGGGGTGGGTACGATAGGGGCGAAAGTGTGACTACCGAGGGGTCATCATGCATATGAATGTGGGGTAGTGTTCAGAAGGTGAGGGGGTGGGGGTGAGGGTGGGGGGTAGCCCCTCGTGTGGCCGCGGAGGAGCGCGAGAGAGGAGCGGACAGGGATGGCTGGAATAAGGCGAAGAGGAGGGGGAAGGGGGTTAGAAGATGAGTCACTGATGAATTTTTGCATGGAATGTGCTTCTAACGATGCTCTGTGATAGATTTCATTCTTGTCTTGTGTGACTTTGCACAACACATTCCTTCTCTGTGCAAACATGCAAGCATGGAAGAAGAGTTTGTTGCAGAAGTCAACATTCAATGTTGATTGGTCTCGTTGCTCTACAACCTGTCGCAGTGCTTATTTTATCAGAAACTATTGAGATTGTTCAACATTGCCATGTTTTAATTGTTGTTTGATGCATATGCTTTGGTTTTTGCTCCGGTGTGCTTTCGAGGTGGAAATATGCGAAATGGTGTAGTAAAGATGAATGACATGATCCATGTCAGAAGATTGTTAGCTCATGCACAAGCGATTCTCTTTGCAAATGCTGAATAATGTATACATCCATGATTTGAGCAAGTTGGGTTGGGGGTCTGTTAGTTTTTGGCTCATGCCATGATGAAGCTCGGTTGACCTTTCACAAAAAGCAACTGACCCTGCCATCAGCGACCGAGGATTGTGAAGGAGCGAGGGCTGTTATGCGTATGGGTTTTATTCGATCGTGATGGTTGCTGCAACTGAGAAAATGGATGGTATCGTCTCCCTTGCAAGAAATGTACCCGCTCTGAACCGCGGTTAACAGTAGACCACCCTGGCCACGAAGAAGCCAAAGATGCAGCGAATTCAAGGTGCGCATGACCAAATGTTTATGTATCCTGCATCAGATGGATTTTGCAAGCTGATATCGTAACGCGAAAGCATATAGAAGCTTCATTATGATATGGCTCTAACATTGTTTGACATCAGTGATGTCAACTCGTCCAACACGATAAGCAAGTCTGGGCGAGTTCAGAGACAGAGTTGTCTTGCCGCGCGTGATCATATACTGGCCTGGAAGCTCCAGCAGCAATGGTCGTTTAGAGGTGAGGCGATTTTCGAGTGGTAGAGCGATTCCATTTGCTCATTTGTCGTGCATAGCATACACTGGGGCACTGAGCGATTCTGGATCCAAAGCGAGGAAGGCGACAAAAGCGGCGCGTGCGGGGAAAACGCTGGCAGTGTCAAAGAATGGCAAGATCTCTAAGGCTAGCAAAGCTCAAGCAGGAAAAAGTGCAATCAAAAAGTTGAAGAAAGTTGCACAGTCTGCACCTGAAGCACATTCTGCTGCAAGGAAGTTCGCAGAAAATGATCATTCTGGTGCCCGTAGGAACAGTAAGCCTGCTGAAAAGAAGCTCTCAAATAAGCAGAAGCGAAAAGCGTCCTCCATGGGTGAAGCAGAATATGACGAGACGATCGAAGACACCGGTCAGCTTGAAACGCATGAAGACGATGTTAGGCAAGACATGGATGCAGAGCACTTGGAAGACGGAGAAGGTGGCAAACAGGTGATAGTGCATTTTTTCCTGACCTGGTGGCTTTGTTTGATATTGCGCATTAGCCTCAAGATGACACACAAGAGAAGGTTCATGGTGTAGAGGTGAAAAGATTGAAATCGACCATCGTTGCCGTGACTTCATGATAGGACTCAGCAGCTCGTAATGTAGAAATCAAACGACAGAAAATGGATCGCTTCCTTAAGAAGCTGAAAGCTGCAAGGGAAGCAAGATTCAAGAGGACTCTTGAGATTGCAGAAAAGGTATTGGCGGTCCTTGTTCAATTCGAAGAACCAATGTTGTCCTAGGGCATGAAGAAGAACGAATGGAAGGACCCTGATGCTCCGATTTCTTTTGTGCTCTGTCCAGCCGAAGATCTTAGGCGAGGAATAGAAAAGCAAGAGTTGGATCCCACGTACATGGGTAAACTCCAGGTTAGGCTGGAAACAACTTTTTTTTCGTTCGCTTTCGGCAACTTTTGTGATGATTTTTGCTGTCTCTAGCGCTCAAATCTGTCGACTCCCCCCGAAGCAACAGTCTTGCACCTCAAAAGATTCCTCATCAGCAAACTTCTACCTAGCGCTGACGTGAATGTGAATTTGTCAACAGGATGACCTTGAAGTGTTGATGTTGTTGTTCTACAGGTCTCTGAGGTGCAAATAGCTTGCAGGGGAATAGTTCTGTCTAGTGATAAAACGCTTTATGCGATCAAGCATCTTCTTTGGCCTGAAAATCATAAGGTAGGAGATTATGCAGTGTCGTTGATGTCGACCGTTGACTCGTGGCCGAGCAGCTAGCCCCTGTTCTTCGCTATCGTAGGGTGCCTCTGTTGAAGAACTTCTCGAATCCCTCAATGCTTGCTAGCCCTTGTGGCTTGAATGCTCAGTCATCTGGTGCTTCGGGTCTGTTTTCTCGTGGAGTCACCCATCACCATCCTATGGACTTAAAGCGCGGCGCAGAGGGAATGCAGCACCCTCTTTCGTCTCTCTTCTCGCATCCTTCTTCCAGGCACGAAGCTACCCAGCGAAGTGCTTCGATCAACAATCTTTGCAATGTGCGTTGACAAAGTTGTTTTCTATTGGGTTTACTCCTTCGCAGATGAATCAAGAGCAAAAATCCAGAAAAGCTTCAGATGACGTTGGGTTGCTTGAAAAGTCTTTGATGCACCTAGCAGGAGTCAATGGTACAGACTTGAAATCGTTCATCTCGCTTTTAGCTGGCTCACAGAAGTTGGCTGCTCAAAGTGTTGAACAAACATCACAGGAACGAAGGAGTCAGCTGGACTTGAGCAGTTTGCTGGGTCAAAGGGCTAACAGTGCGCATGTTCTGAACCCAGTGAATAACTTTCTTGCTTCTCCTGCGGCCGATATTCAGGCGAATGGAGACAAGCTTGTGAACAATCTTTTTCAAAAACCCAAAGGTTTTGCTGAGGTGGTTCAGCAAGCTCAGCATCAAAACAAGGCGGCAGAGCAGAAGAAGCGAAGCATGCCGTCGAACCCCTCTCACAACAGACACCCGTCTGCTGGTGGTTTCTCGCGCGAGATGTTTTCCAGCTTAATGCCATTCCAGGATAAGAGCCCCCCCAAGGTGACACCCTGCTTCTGCCTTCATTTCGCTCACTCATTGTCAGTCCAAGCCTTCAGCCGAGGCTCCCAGCACTCCCTTTTTCAAAAATGTCTTGAAAGGCTCAAGCTCGAGCATTCTCGCTGGTATGGCGTCCATGAAGCCCCAAGCCTCATCGGCCCCTGCAGCCCCGAAGCCCTCGACGATAGCTGGGGTATCTGCTGCACAAACACATGTTGCAAGGTCATCGCTCACTGATATGAGCAGGAGCAGTCAGGCGGTTGTTGGAATGGAAACGGAACGGCACAGCGGTTGATGGGGAACGGGAGGCCCACACATGAATACGTACGTGAAGGTTGAGGGCACAGGGAAAGGGAAATGACGTGGCTGGTCAGGTCCTCTCTCAATCCGTCAAACCTCCGTCTCCCAAGTTCAGCTTTCAGATCCCCAAGAGCAGGGACCATCTTGCTGTCCCCTGATGCCTGCGCTCTTGAGGTGTGATTGTACATATGTATTGTGAACGATCTAGTTGTTGAATATTTTGAGCCGGCTGATCCGGCAGTGATGACAGTGAACTCTGTAACTTGTTGTACATGAAACGTTTGAAACAAATTAAAGTGTGCTCGACAACTTGACGAATAAATCAAGGATCTCACGCATGTTTGTTTCTTCTCATGTCGGCGTCTTTGTTAGTTGCTTTCCACACTGGTGAAGACAAGGTTGAGAAGGCTGAGATCTTGCTGCTCTGAGGGCAGACAGGCGAACTTGACGCAGAGAATGTCGGGGTTTTACGAGAGAAAAGACGAACCAGAGAGACGCAGGCAAGAGGGAGAGAAGAGGGAGGGAGGGGAGGGGAGGGAGGGCAGGGAGGGGAGGTCGAGGTGGAGGGAGGGGAGGTCAGGTGGAGGTAGGGGGGTCGAGGTGAAGGGAGGTGGAGGCAGATGGAGGGAGGTGGAGGGAGGTGAAGGGAGGGGAGGTCAGGTGGAGGGAGGGGAGGTCAGGTGAAGGGAGGGGAGGGAGGGGAGGGAGGTGGAGGGAGGTGGAGGGAGGTGGAGGGAGGTGGAGGGAGGGGAGGGAGGTGGAAAGGGAAGGGGAGAGGCGAGGTGAGGCGAGGGAGGGATTCGGGGACCAAAAAAAAATGATGTTATAAAACCCTTTTAAAGTTACCAGTGATGAGGTTGACTATGACGCAAGTCGTCAGAAAGATCGCTCTTGTGACCTCCTGCAAGACTCATATCGGCCTTGTCAAACAAGCTTGCTCACTTCGGAACAGCAATGGTGTCCGGAATGGTGTAGCCCATGTGTGGTTACCTTTTGTTTGCGAATCTTCTCAGCTATGGCAACCTTTGTCTTGAATTGGTAAAGCACTGAGGTCGCTGATATCAGTGAGAGCGATGCTGATCAGATCCACATGCCAGCAGTGTGGACTGCTTGAGCAAGGGATCTGTCACATGTTCCATTGTGTATGTATCTGTCTCCACAACCCCTGTTTGCTGCCTGTCTGCCTTCCTCCCTACCTTCCCATCTTCTCCATGCTCTGTCTCGTGTGTCACCTGTCTGCCATGTAACAGTCCAACAAAGCTTGCTTGCTATCAGAGCCGTAAGCAGCTCAGAGCAGCTTGAAGAGAGAGCACGCTTGTTCTCGCGCTCACTTTTCCTTCCCTGCTTCACTTTCACAGTCTTCACCTGCTCATGCACAGACAACTCATTTGAGTAAGATCCGAGGCTTGGAGGAAAGTAGGAGATGTCATAGAGAGATACAACCATCCTCCTTCGCTCCTCCTTCCCTTCGTCCATCTTTCCATCATTCCGCACCTCCACCCCTCAAGTTCCCCTCCTCTCACCCTTCATCACTCAACTTCTTCATCGAGCTTGTCAGTTTTACTCCTCGACTTTCACTTCCTCTAACAGGCCGTATGGTTGTGGTCTCTTTGCCGGCGGAAGGGGGGGGGACGAGGCTCACAGGTGTGAGAGCTCATAGGAACCGAGCCCGAGTCAGAGAAAGGTTTACTGGAAAGAGAGGACAGTTGGCTGTCTCTTACTCGTGCTCGAAACTGACTTCTCCTGGAGGATAACCCAGGATACTCTACCCACAAATGTGAATCAATCTGCTGAAAAGGACCCCTCTGGAGGTCTTTGTTGCAGGAAGCGTGTACCGGTGTCAGTAACCCATATGCTGAAGAGGAAGGGCGGGTCTTGTGGAGTACAACCCGTTGGAAGCAGCCTGCTGGCATGAAAGGACGGGGGGTTTTACTCTGCGAGAGAGAAAAGTTGCCTCTCGAAGGGCTGACGGGAAGTTCAACATCTAACGAGAAAAGATTGTCAATTCCCAAGGAGAGAACAGCCCTCTTCGAAGCTGTGAAAGGATCATCCTCGTCGGAACTAGGTGGTCAATCTCCCCCTTTGGTGTATGAGCCACGTCTGTTTGTGCCAGACACAAACAGACATGTGAGAATAAAGAGAGATAGATCTCCTTCTGTCACTCTGCTTTCATCTTAGTAGAGAAATTCCAGCGCAGGTTGTTGTTGAGCTTCGCTGAAGGTCAATCCTGTAAGGCCTCGGGGTTTGACAACGGACTCATCAGTGCCAAGGACACGGTCACGACGGTTGAAGTCCGAGCGCTTGGATACTGGCAGAATTTTTCACGGCATCAAACTTGGAACTTGGAAGCAGCCTTGAACGAGGGCTGATTCGGAACTTGCTCGCTGTGAAAGACTCACTGCCGATCAAGTTGCTCGTCGAGCTGGGAGACCTCGAGGTCACTTTGTTTTTCCACGAGACAAGCCAAGCAGAGGCAGCTGTAAGTTTGGTTCAGGCTGTGGCCTTTCCAACCCCTTCGCACATTCCTTCGGTTGTATGAATCGCACTGCAAGGCAATCTTACATTAATCTGTTCATCAAACTTATTGACCTAAGGTGTCATATCCTTCTGGTGCTTATCTAGATGATTGTAGTACCCTTCCTAGATGATTGTAGTACACACCTTCCTAGATGATTGTAGTATCCTTCCTTTCCTAGATGATTGTAGTACCCTTCCTAGATGATTGTAGTACCCTTCCGTCATCCTTCTCGTCGCTGTAGCGATGAACATCATGATCGAGCATATCTCGAAGTCGTTGAGCTCTCTCACTGACGCACTGAGAGCAGCGGACTGATCGAGTTCGGTTCACAATGTTCCTGTCAAGTTTGACTCACGTAAGCGATCGTCCGTTAATTCACAAGGAGAGAGGGTGAAGGGTGGTGATAGAAACTAGGTAGGGTAGTGTCTTGACCGGTATTTTTTCAGGTATAAGTCAGGGTATCTGACCTTGAGTGCAAAACTCCAAGGAAAGGGGTGGGGTTTAAAGAGGATTGGGGTTCAGGGGGTGTGACGAGATGCAGCGCAAGTTGACAATCCAAGTCCGAGAGGAGGAGGAGGAGGAGGAGGAGGAGGAGGAGGAGGAGGGAGACATGCGGACCAGATTGGATGATGATACTCTTCCAAGGCTGAGACGATCTCCAAGGATTATGGCCATGACACGAAGAAATGTAAGCGTTCTGCCCCTGAGATGGAAACAAAAGTTGTCTCATCGACTTTGTTATACATGATCTACGTCTTGTGCTGGAACTTCTCGAACTTTGATCATGCGTTGTCTGGATGAACGATGTTCTTCCATTATGATTGTCTTTTTACTTGTGCTCAAGCAGGAGAAGAATGTTACCCCCAAGGATCGTCGCATGGCAAGCACTCTCATGGCAAAGAGCCCTATCGTCAAGGTATGTCATCGTCCAGTCCCGACTGTCTCATCTGCTCACGTTAGCATGTTCTTAGAAACACGTCAAGTCTCCCTGGAGCAAGGATGCATTGCCTGGGATCGGCAAAAAAATTCCAGTCCCCTATCCCATCTACTCCTCGTCCTCCCCTGTGGTGAACGCCAAGAAGAAAGGTGATTGTCTTCGGCATGAATGAAGCTCTGCTGACAGCTCTGCAGCTGCACCAAGATACTTCCAAGAGTTCACAGATCCGTCCTTGCAGGCAACGAGCCTGGATCACAAGCCCGCGTTGCCCAAGATTCATCCGCTGGACATGAATGCTGTGACTCGCCTGGGAGGAAATGAAAGCGCAGAGCAGCATAGGATGAGGAGAAACAGGATCGCAAAGGTGAGCAAGGCCTCAGTGCTGGGGATGATGGGATGATGGGATGATGGCGTGAACCAGATTCGAGCCAGCTTCCCGTCAGCTCATGCGCAAGAGGACGTGAGCGAGACGAGCCGTCTTCGACCGTCAGGTCCAGGAGTCTCCCTGCAGGAGGTAGAGAGACCCTGCTGGTGCTGCTGGTCTGATGGAGGGGCAGCGGGGATGGAAGAAGACGACGAGAAACTCGGTGGACGTCGCAGAGTGGATGCAAGTGAAAGGAGAGACAGCAACGTATAGCACCAGGGGGAGAAGACATGTTTGATGTGATGTTCATCCTGACGAAGCCTGAGATGATTGCAGATCTCCTACGATAAGAGCTTTTATTCTGTTGATCAGAAGAAAGAGGGGCTGTTGTTCCCCTTGCATGCAAGAAAGACTCGATTGTCTGTTGAGCTGCAAGGAGAGACGAAACGTGTGATGCATCGGCAGCACAACCAGGCAGATACAAGGGTCAGCAAGGAAGACTCGATGGCAGGAGGGAGAAGGAGCAAGCGCATCGCAGTGGAGGAGAAGTCGACAGGGATAACACCCACATTCCGAAGTCTGGACGTCGGAAAGAAGGGGGGAACGTTGTTGAGTGCCATAGCTTCCGAATCAGATCGAGGTAGTCTTACAGCAGTGCAACTTATTCGACTGTGATGGACGTCATCCTGCTAGGAGCTATTTCAGCGAGGCTGACGGTAGAGCAAGTGCTGGACTTCCTGGTCTCGGAGATCAGGTCAAGGTTTGCAATGACCATCCCCGAGCCCGCCGAGCTGCTTGAGCGCAACAGAGAGCAGGTGACGACGAGGAGCAGGACGGCGCCCCGTTAGTCTGACTCGCGTCACCAGGTCCAACGATGGTCGGAGGGGGCAGAAGGCTGTCACACGCTCTCCTTTGTCGTGCAGGTTTAGCTTCATTATCAAAACCTGCGCCCTCTCATCAGCCCCTGCCTCTCCCCCTGCCCCTGCCCCTGCCCTCATTCTCTTCTCCTCCTCCTCGTCTTGACTCTTTCGTGTACTAGTCCTTGCTCTTCACATCTACCTGTCTTTCCTGTGATCCTGACACCTTTTGCAAATCAGCTCAACTTCAGTGATCTCTCGATCCCCGCGCGGCTCTACATGCTGCCAGGCACTTGCGCGTGTTTCCTTGTACTCGTCTTATGTCGTCCTAGAGGAGAAAAGAGAGACGAACAAGCGACCATCCAAGATCTGGAAGAAAGTGAAAGTAGCCAGCAGGTTGAAAGGAGGACATGCAGGTAACTTGACTATCAGCACCCAGTCTCCCTTTCGAGTCCCCTCCGGCCTAGCGCTGAAAATTCTTCCGCAGCATCAGCGGATGAAGAGAATATTGAGCCGACCGAGTCGAGTGAGACGAAACAGCAGCAGGAAGAGCAGGAGAGCAACGACACTTGCTCGGAGTTGCCGACCGTGATGAAGTATAGCTACCTTCTCTTGCCTATCCTTTTTTTCCATGTATCCTTCGTCGCTAGGCTCTTCCTCTTCTCTCCAGCTTCAATCTGAAATTCAACCAGGGGACCAGGTTTTCGATCGATCAAGTTCAAGAGAATGAGTCTGACGGTCAGTGTTGAGCTTGTTTTATTCTTTTTATGTAATCTTTGCTGTGTGACTCTTTTGGTTTGCCAACAGGGACTGAGCAAGTTTTCAGACATCGCTGTAGTATGATGGAGATAATCGTCAAGAAATCAGAGACAAGTCACGTGTTCTCATTAAAGCCCTTCATTCCATCATTGCGTGAAAACTTAATACCATTCGCTAAATGTAACAAGCAAGAAAACAATACAATTTTCACTCAGCAGGATGTGACGGTCCCAACCATGAGGAGCGGGAGCACCTCAGTTGGTGAGGGAGTACTTGGGCAGAATCCTGTCCGGGATGTCCTTGACCGAGATAGTCTCGGGGAGGGGGTGCGGACGGACGCTGACACAAGGAATCCCATCGTGGTCCTCGTCTCCCTTGGAACGCTGAGTGTGGTTGAAGTTCCGGATCGCCTCCTTGAGACGATCATATTTCAGGTGACGGCCAAGTATGTTGTCCCTATTCGGAGAGCCAGTGCTGTGTTGAATCGGGAGTGTTCCTGCGCCAGGAGTGAGGGAGCTGGAAAAGGCAACAACACTACAGTATGCTCGAAATGAGGAGCAATCATGCGCGATTCACAAGAGGAGAGCGATCCTGAAGGTCGAGGGGAAGAGAGGATCAGAGTTTTGAGACGAATACCTTGATGCTGTTGATGTGAGAGGTTATGGGAGGGAGCAAAAGCTCGCGCTCCCGCTAAAATTTTCCTTCGAAACATTCTCATCCAGGATTGATCCCGGAGCTCAATCAACCAGGTTCTTTGGAAGTTTGTCTGAGAGACAAAAAGATTAGTGACAAAGAAATCAAAAGAATTCCAAGACAAGTGCTGTTGAAAGCTTCTTTAGGATTAAGCGTAGTATTCCATGAAAAACAGGATATCGGGACATTCAGGTGAAATTACGTTTCTGGCATGATACAAGTGCAGCTATTCATGTTCATGCATTCTGAGAAAAGGAGAGTAGAGAAGAAGAGAGAGAGGGCAGGACGTAAGTTGAAATTTCGCTATCATCCCAGTCATCGGCGACAAGCGGCATGAGGAATGGGCGTACAGGAGGGGGTGCATCGATGAGAAGGATGCACGTGAAGACGGCAAACGGAGACATGCAAGGCATGACACTGAAAGAGTTACACAGGAGAAAAATACGGTAGCTGAAAGGAGCAACAAGATGGTAAAGGCTCACAAGGCAGGAGGATGGAAAAGTCTAGTATAGGAACACAGCATGAATCATAGGGTTGACGAAGGAGGCTGTCAGGAGGAGCGCACCAAGGATCAAGACAACGACAAGAGAGGTGTAAGTAAGATATCGATGACCCATGGTATTCAGACATGAATGAGGAGGAGGAATGTCAGGATGTAAAGAAGCGAACGGGTTCAGCAGTGTTGCAGGGTTCTGTTAAGGGAAGATCCAGGGGTTGGCGAAGTAGAAGGGTTCTTGCGGGGCAAAGGCATGAGCAAGCTGAAGAGGAGGAGTACAAACATAAGGCGGGGAGGGAGGAGGGGGAGGGAGGAGGTCTTGAGGAGGGCAGGGTCGAGCATATCATTGTGAGGCAGAGGGAGCAGGTGTAGGAGGAGGCTGAAGGGGTGGCGAGTAGCATGGGATTAGAGCAGGTACCACGGGTCCTGTGCTACAAGAGTACCGCCAACACCCTTGAATTTAACCATGAAAATACCCGTAGATCAAGTACCCTACCAGACCAACTTGTAGGTTTAACAGTCGGCGTACCCCCTAGTGGTACCGGTCGCGGATGCTAGAAATACTGGGTAGGTGGTCAGGGTTCTAGAAGGGTCTTAGGATTGTTGTAGGGGGCAGTTCTACCATCGCGGCACTAGGTGAATTGAATCGGGGACAGAGCATGGTGGGGTGGTCAAAAGTATTTCCGGTATGAGGGGGTGAAGATAGGCAAGTTGCACAGTAGTAGGTAGGGGTAGTCATAGTGGAGGGGTGCGTTGGATAGCACGGGTCCTGGTCCAGATGCTGTCGGGGAGGGGGTGGGGTAAAGATCGAGAGGTAGGGTGCTGATTTGAGTAAAATTAAGACGTCAGGCGACTCGTTCCAAGATTGAGTAAAGATTAGTACCAGATCTGTTGGCGCGGGGCCCTCTAAAAAGCACTTTTAAACTGCTTGCCAGGCTGTTTTCATCTTCTTTTTATCCCGGGCCCGGGCAACTGAATCCCGAGCCGATCCCGGGGGCGGCAGTTTACTCAGTCGTCACAATGAGTGTTCGTTGAGGCGAGCTCGAACATAGAGAAAACGATGGTGACAACCACGAAATGGCGAGACTCATCACGGTGAGAGGGAGGGAGGGAGGGAGGGAGGGAGGGAGGGAGGTGAGGCAGGCAGGCAGGCAGGCAGGCAGGCAGGCGGGCAGGCAGGCAGGCAGGCGGGCAGGCAGGGAAGGGAGGGAGGGTAGGGATGGGGGGACGGAGGGACGGAGAGAGGGACGGAGGGACGGAGGGACGGAGGGAATTCGAAGCAGTTAAACCGGCTGACTCTGTTTTGCAGGGCAAGCTGACCTCTCTCGCACGAAATCAGAGCTCTGTGCGCAGACAAGCAGAAAGAGACGATAGAGGTTTCAGATGAAATGGATCTTTTTACATCTGCTACTCGCTGCCTTGCCGGGGTTGGCAACTTCATATGAATCTGCCAGGGTGAAGATTACAGCGCCTCAAGACGGGTCAGAAGTATGGGGCGCGTTCAAGGTATTCTTGCAGAGGGCCGGGCATGTTGTTGCGACTTGTAAATTTCTTCAGGTGAGACTGGAGGTCCATAACTTCTTCTCCTCCGTGGTGGATCCACGAGAGGTACATGCAGTTCCGCTCATCATCGCTCGAGTCACTCGAACCCTCTATCAGCTCAACGCTCAGAGCGTGGAGGTCTTTCTCGACGGGGATCTGGTACGTTTGCCGGGAATGCAACCCAGTGTTCACAAGTTTAAGGCCCTGGCGATCCCACTGGGGAACCGGACGAGACAGTTTCACATCCTCACGATCCCTCCTCTGCCTGCCGGACAGCATGTCCTGGAAGGTGAATGGCGATGTACTGATCGAAGCCATCTCATGGGTGATCCTTCTACAGCGCAGTCGCAGCTGGCAGAAGACTTGGCTGCGTATCACGTCGCTGGCCGCAAGGTGTGTCTGGCTGGCGAAGGGAAGGGATGGGCTGCTTGCTGTTGACCTGGATGTTCAGGACAGGATCAGGTGCTGAAGAAAGGTATGTTACAATCATGAGATGGTTTGCCAGGTTCTTGTCTCATGGAGAAATCCAACGCCCTATTGGAGAGAGAACGAGTATGTTGGCGGACTTTGTTGCGGTGCCTCTTATTTTGCTTCAGGGACTCAAGACAGCGTTGTGGTGCACAAGAGATGCTTCAGTACTCGGTTGCGAGCTGCTTCCTGCCTTGACTGGCACTACAGACAAGAGCGATGGCCAACCTTGGTCTAAACAAGAGAGGTGGACAGTTGGTGCTTGCTTTTATGTGCCTCACCTGATATAGGTGGAATGCTTCTGAAACAGCCATCCTAGTCATCGACATGTGGGCATTCCATGGTTGTGAATCTTTAAGTGATCCGACTGATTTCTGGTGATGAATGAGTCCTAGGGTGTCAACCAGCACATCTCAGGTCAATGGAGATAGCTAGGGATATCAATCGCGCTATCATGGCGGCAAGAGACCTTGGAGTTTTCATCGTGCATGTTCCCAGCAGGTTTTCAGCTCATCTTCCAGTGCCTTGCTCTTGACGTGTCTTAGCGGGGTCGAAGAGATGTGGGCAGAGTACCCCGAGCAGCGAGAACGAATGGTTCCAACAGCCTCCATCCCCTCCATCCTCCTACGCCTGACGCCAGGCTGCCTTGGTTAGATGCAGAGCTCGAGATGGTGTATGTCAGAAGAGGGATGTCTGTCTGCCTCACTCAGGCATGCGGGTATCACATGACATCCGTTTGACAAGAGAGCATGAGACATATCGACGCAGGTCAGTCTGTCGAGCCCCTCGATGACGAGCCGACGCTTCCGATTCAAGGCGGTGGCTGCGATGATGGCAAGACCGAGGCTCCGACCAGATGGGACGACGAATCGCACTACCAGGTATGCCTCGGAGCTCGAAAGGCCTCGCCTCTCATGGTCTACCGATAGAACAGGGACATCAAGATCTTCCCGTTGGACGGGCTGAGTGACAGCGCCAATGAGATTGTTGGCACTTTCAAGAGGCTCGGCATGAAGAACGTGGTGTGAAGTGAGGAGCACATGATGACAAGATGCCCTGATGGCATGCGAGGTTGTGACTGGAGTGCATCTCAACGAGTGCATACTGAAGAGGCCGTTCGGGATCCGTCAGCTGTTGAGGGAGGGCTTCAACGTCGTTGTGGTGAGAAATGATAGAGAAAGCATCGGCAGCTGACCCTCCAATGAATTCGTCTGCAGGCTAGAGATCTTACAGACTCTCTCTATGACTCGCGAGACCCACCCTACATCAGCCATAGGGCAGCCAACCATCTTATGGTCAAGCACGTAGAAACGTACATTTGCTGTACAATCTCCAGCCACGATTTTCACCAGCTGAATGAGTGAAGGCAGCAACCGCTTGACAGTGTTGTATATTGTTTGCATTGTGCGGAGATCTAATCGTAACATTCAATCAAAGAAAGCTTCAATGAATCTATCTAAACATCATATACTATTTACAGTGAGGGAGTCTCATTCTCAAGTCCATCGGCCTCGCTCTTGTCATCATCCATCATCATGGCATGGAGAACAGAGAAGGACGTGGTGCAAGTGTAGAGCTGTGTGGTCTCAATCTCTCTGCACTTGTCCTCGAGGTTTTGAACATCATATTGCTCGACCAGGTTCGTCACATCGTAAAAGCAGATCGTGACAAACGGGCACTTGAACTTATCGTCCTGCCGCAGGGACACATGCAGCCATTGGCTAGAGCTGGTGTCTGGCGCCCATTCAAAGCATGTTGAGAACTCAACAAAAGGTTGGCGCATGGCGTTCTCGATCGCTGAGTAATCGCAGTCACTCAACTTTCCCTCAAGGTAGTCCCACAGAGATGTCCTATGCGTCGTATGCCATTGAACACCAACGTCAATCTCGCACATGCTCGTTGAGGCGAACAGAATAGGATTGTTGTCACGAGATAGATCAACCATGATGAATGGACATAGAGTGCTCTTCGTTAGATCCTCGATCGCCCTTCCGTATTCTGTCCACATTTCTGCTTGCTCATCTTGCTCAAAATGCTCCGGCTGATTGTTCACATCATGGCATGAAGCACAGTCGCTACCATTCTCCGTGGCATCCACTGCTCGACCTCTTCTATCTCGCACACAAGCTTTTTCGTCCTCGCCGTGTTCGCATGCCATGAATGACTTGTGCTCGCTTCCCATCGCCTGGCCTCGCCGTCGCTCCCCTTTGACTTCTTATCGTTCACGAGGGAAGGGAACAAACAACGGTTCGCCCCAACTCCAGACTTTACTACACATAATTTACTCACGGAGTCCACACTTCGTGGTGTCCGTGTCAGCACTCCCTTGTGACTGCTGTAAGGCCTCAATGAGCCATTAGAGGGGCCGATGTCATCTCCAGATTTTACCTCGTCAGCTTGTAACCATTTCCTCTTGACAGCGTGACCTTCTGTCCTCTTCGCCGAGCCTTGAGTCTGACCCTGCTGTCCTGTCCTCAATCACTACTATGCGATGGGTAGTTTTGTTGTGGTGCCTTGTGGTCTTCTTGGGATTTGAAGCTGGGCGAGCTTGCCATTGACCACCCCGAACCATGCGTGTCCTCGTGACTGTTTGTTGTCTCAGTTTGAGGGCTGACGGGTCACGTTGGTTTCGCAAGGCTTACAGGCCGTATTGACTAAAATCACGGTGGCCTGAGCAGATTCATATAAACCAGCGGGGCCCGCCGCCGCGCCCGCCCCCCGGACCGGCGAGTCACAGAGTCACTGAGTGACTCTGATCGGCGCTCAGCTCGGACGGCTGACTCTGTGTTCGGAGTCGGTGAAGCCGCGACGGTATCTCCGAAGATGCTGTTGAGAGCATGAGATTCCGGCGCCGTAACAGCGCTCCGGCGGCGGGAGTCCTGTCGGGGCCCGGCGATCACTGTGACAACTGAGATTCACGCGGCGGGCCGGCCCGGGCCCCGCCGCGGGGGGGGCGGCGGCACTCCGAGGCTCAGGTCACAACGGCCGCGGGCTGGGACGGCACTGGCCCCGGGGGGGGGCGAGGCTCGCGCCCGGCCGCGGCGGCCACGCCGGGCCCAGGGACCGTACCGTACCGTGCTCCGAGGCTCCCAGTCCGATCCGGGACCACAGTGACGGTGAATCGGACCGTACTCGAGTCCGATCCCGGCCGAGTCCCGGCGGCCGGAGGGCCGGCACGGTTCCGCCGCGAAGCCGCTGAGCGGCACTCAGGCCCTGATCATGATTCACTGATGAAAGTCACTTGTGAATCACCATGCCAAGTTGCCAGCTTGGCTTCGATTTCACTGCTCACCAAAGTTCAATGTCACACCGTGGCACACGGTTATCACTAAATTGAATCATCCAACACATGGGCCGGGATGGGCCCCGGCAACGCGGCGCGGCCGCGGCGAACTTGACTTGAAAACTCCGCCACTGAGTTGGCGGCCCGGCGATTTTCCTTTACAACTTTCATGAACCGACGGGTGCCGCGGCCGTTCCGCCCGACGGCGCCGCGGTGACTGGTGGCACTGGCCGGGCAATGTGGCAAAGCCTGAAGGCGCCGGGCTGCCTCTCAGCGGCCGGCGGGCAATCGTCGCACTGCTCAAGTAAGTTACGCCGTTGACCGTCGTACAGCCTTGAAACTCGGCGCCGGACTGCCTCGCCGGAGCCGCCGCCACCAGTTACTAAGTTACTTCCTGAGTGCCAGCCTAGTGAGCTTGAGGCGACGAAGCGGCCGGCGGCCGGGCCGCCACTGGCCAAGCGCGTCGCCGCAAGTCGTTGGCCGGGCGCCGGGCCCACGCGGCGCCTGAGCCCGGCCAGCACAGCGCCGGTCTCGGCGCCAAGTCCAAGATTCGGCGTACACTTACTCTTGTAGCCGTGCGGCGGTGGGCACATTTCATCGGCCCGGCGGCCCCCGTCGTGCACTGGAACTTCGGAAGGCGCTGGCAGTGCAGCTGAGGGCCGTCGGGAGAGTCGCACGCCAGTCTGAGCAGAAGCACTGTCACACCGATGACTGACGCCTGTGAGTCCATCCCGCTACCATAGCATCACTGATGCCCTGCTAATGCCAGTGAGTCCATCCCGCTGCCATAGCATCAGTCACGTTGCGCGGCTGCCATAGTGCGAGCCAAGTTCTTGCTGAGTGATCCCCAGCCCCCCCGCAGCCCGGGGGCCTCGCTGCCGGCAGCAGTCTGCAAGAGAACTCAACATTTGCCTCAAACCGCGGGGAAGTTTGAATCACCTCAATGAGCTGCCGCCAGCGCCTTACGCCGTCTACCAATCACTCCTGCCAAGCGCTTCAGCGAGAGGAGAAGTTGGTATGCCAGGATCATACTGTTGAAGGCACGAAACAACTCAACAAAGGTGAACATCACTGCGGAATGCAGCATAGAAGTGACCATCTTGTTGCCAACACCTGCAAGCTTCGTCAGCGCCGGCCTGTTCTCCGCATTCTGGTCAACCTGTCCACATGGATGTGATAACCTCAATCAGCTCAGAAAAGCTCTTCACTCTCCTCAAGTCCTTGAGGTAGTGACTAGCCTACCGCACGACAGATGATAAGGATAACAGAAGAGGTCAGTATCATGATCGCCACCTGCTCTCCCTTCAGCCCTGCTTGCATCCGAAGTTTGATGGTCTGCGCAGGGAAGGTAAGAAGCACCTGCGAGAAAACAGTCATGGCAGCAGGTTAAGACGTATATGTCGCAACCGCGAAAAACTTGGAGACAGCACCCATGACAAACGCCTCCAAGGGCTTGGGTCCTTTCCCACCCCTTGCTTTCTGAAGCCCCAAAAGGAGAAAGCCATGTCAGAGTCAAAATTTGCAGCGCTTGATGGTTGAAAATCTTTTGTTTTTCATGGAGAGAGGGGAGAGGGCTGCTGAGGCAGAGATAGGATAAGGATCACGGGGCAAGGGAGGCACGGATCCCAAGGGGTATGATGAAGGGATGCAGGTGGGGTTGGGGTTCTGAAGAGGAAGAGCTGCTGAGACTCATGGGAAAGTCAATTAGAAGGAGGCGAGCAAGACCTGAATCATCTTGCGGAACCATCCGTAGATGGCAAGTTGAATACCCTGGAGTAGTCTCAGTTGCAATGAAGGGGGGGTATAGGAGAGTAGTCTCAGTTGCAATGAAGGGGGTTACAGAAGAGTTCGTACCGGGTTGATGAGCAGGACTACGGCAGGAACGATACCTACGTTCACATCAAAGTTAGCGCTGATCTCCATTCTTCGGGTCCCAGTAACCAGAGAGCCAGCCAAGGATGCCCTCGTTCCGGATGAGCTCGGTCAGTGAAGTAGCCGTGGGCATCTTCGTGACCTCCGTCCCTTGTTCCAGCACACAGTCACGTCGCTGCATCCTCTACATCCCGTTCTCCGTGGCTCACCGCCCTTTTCCTTTGTGCCATTGGACGACCCATTTGCCAGATGGTGCGATGACCCGTTGGAGGTTCCGTTAGACTGGAGATGCTTGACAGGGCAGTAAGGTTCGCTCCCGAAGCATCTCGGACCTCTCACCTTGCCGTTGGAGTTTTCTTTCTTGCCGAAGGCCTTCTTTGCTGCAATCTTGAGGCGAGTGTTGATAACCTGCATGTGTTCAGCTAATGCACCCAGCCATTCCCTATCGCATCTCAAACGTTTTCTCACCCAAATCGGATTGACGATGACTGTGGTCAGGATCCCCGCAACCGTGGCGGACAACATCTCTTCGATGGCGGTCAGCTTGATGGTCACCAGGCTCTGGGAAGGGTTCTTCTTGTGCTTGAGTGACTTGAGCCATCTCTTGAACAACTCGTTCCACTACTTTCACGTTAGCCAAACAAGCGCTTCACATTCTTGGTCCCTCACAGCAAAGTAGAGCGCCCAGGAAAGACCCGAGCCGGACAGCGCCGACGGCAGTCCTCTATCACAAGATCGTCAGGCTTTGAGCAAACTTGAATCATCTCTTCGCACTTGTACAATCGCTGCCATCCCTCTGTCCGGTAGATGTGCACCAGAAGCTTCAAGAAAGGCATGGGTTTGTCGTAGGGAGGCATGCGAACCTTTCGTTCTCTCTCAGTGATCTCTCCGCGTCTCAGTCTCATCACCTGGAGAATCGTCCTGGTCGTGTCCAAGGGATAGAGCGCGAGGATCGAGACTATGGATCCTGTTTGAGAGCTCAATATCAGAAACCACAAGAGTACTCGCCATTGCAGTTGAAGGCACAGAAGTGTCTATTACCTACAGCCCCTGCTCCTGCTTCCCCCAGAGCCGCAAGCGCGGCGTTGCTCAGGAAAGGCTTCTTCTTAGTAACGACGACCGCCATCTGAAGTGTTGGGATCAACTCAGAAACAACCATAGGTATAAACCATAGAATCTATTTGGGTGTGAATAACGTGATTTCAATATCGTTCCTCACTCTCTCAGACAGCGATGACAATATTCATACACCTTTCTAATCATGCCAATGCCCTACACCTTGTATCCCAGTCCATATACGCATAGCACGGCTTTCAGTCGAGTCCTTCTATGAGTAGCTCTACAGGAAAGACTGAGCACCGACCTTGTTTCACGACTTCTATAGCTCTTTCTATCCATCCCCCATTTGATTTGCCTCTCCCGATCATGCTAGTAAATAGCTCCCTCGCTCATCACCATGGCCTCGCATTTCCTCGATGTCATTCCTCATCAGTGCATCTACGCTTCATGCGACCATCATCCTCTTCTTCAGAACCATCCAGCATTCTGAGTCACCCATGCTCTCCTCCCCTCATCTTCCTCCCTGCCCCCGTTGCTCGCATGCACTGACGAAGCGACACGGGGCATGGCAACAGGAGTACCTAGACTACCGGTCAAATTGACCATTTTCGGAGTTAGGGCGAGATGGGTGGGGTGGACAGTCAAAGGAAACCCGCCTCAGTCGACATATAACACATGAGGCTCATAACCATATATTCCACAGAAAAACTTTTTAAACTTTAAGTAAAATATTTACTGTAGAGTGAGGGTAGTAACTAAAAGAAACCTATACATATTGACTAAAAGATAAAACCTTGTTGAGTAAAACATGTTATAAAGTTTGTCGGAAAAGCTTCAAGGCCGTGGCTAAAAACCAGGGGGTTGGATCCCGAATTTAAATTCCGATGGGGGCACTTTTCAACAGAGTGAATGAAAAAGACCCATGAAGTTTTCTACACTCAAAACACAATTTCATTGATTTTGATTTAGCATTTGATTTGAAGGTTCAAAGTTTGGTATGTTTGTGGAAACACTACCTCCGTTCCCCCAGCCGTCGTCGCCATGAAACTGGTAGCGCGTTCGACCGGCGGTGGCAGCATTGTCATGCCGGCACATCTCATTCACCTCCATGCTCCTGCGTGCACCCTGCCTTCCCGCCTCCTGCTGCTTCATCTTCCACCCCCTCTTACTCTTTGATCCCCTGGGACGTTACCCCACTCCTGACCGCTCTCCTCGTTGAACTCCTACCTATAACTTTCATCTCCTCATCGCCTGTCTCACCGCCATTTGAGGAATTTACGTGGCTGACTGCGGGATCCGATCTCAGACTCCAAGAGAGATCGATCATCTCCTCCTGCATCAGTGTGGTTCGCTGGCGCAGAAGCGACTCGCCAGGGGGTTGAGGCTGAACCACGTCGAGGCCACTGCTCTCATTGCTACAGTCGTGCTGGAGTTCATTCGGTAGGCTCATGATCGCGCTCCTCTCAGTCTCATGCGCATGCCCTCAGCGATGGAAAGACTTGCGCTGAGCTGATGGACCTTGGAAGGAAGCTGCTCGGAAAGAGGCAGGTACGCTTTCACGCTCAAGGGACGTTGTATCAGCGAGAGCCTGGCTGAGATATGATACAAAATCATTGCCAGTGAGATAGGGTACAGTCATAGCTAGTGAAAATGATAGTCAGATAGGGTACAATCACATCTGACGAATGCTCCCGATGCCTCAACCCCATGATCCAGAAATCAGACGACAGCAACCACTGACAACCATTGGCGTTGTAGGTGCTTGAGGGAGTAGAAGCTCTCTGCCATGAGGTGCAGGTGGAAGGGACCTTCCCCGATGGGACCAAACTTGTGACCGGTGTGCGCTACAGCCTCGCTGCTTCCTCGCTTCTTGACTTGGGTGCAGTACATTCCCCCATCACCCTCGAGGATGGTGACCTTGACCTCGCTCTCTATGGCTCCTTCCTCCCGAAGCCCTCCCTCTCGGCGTTCGATGCCCCGGTACCTTACTCTTCAGCCTTGCTTTGTTAGAGGATATGCTGCTTGCCAGTCGAGGGGACATTGGAATTTCCCTGCTGACTGCTGGTTTGCTAGTCGAAGCAGTTCGAGTCTGAAAGTCCAGGAGCTGTTGTGCCCGTCAAGGCATGATGGCTTCAGCTGACTGAGCTCGTCTGACGAGACTTGAATGTCAGGGGTCTCTGATCCTCAACAAAGATCGCGAGAGCGTCAGTATCACCGTCACCAACCTTGCAGACAGGCCGATCCAAGTATGGAGGGGAGGGAGTTCGACTTGCTCCTGGTTGACCTGATGGCCAAGGTTGGAAGTCACTATCACTTTGTCGAGGCGAACTCAAGACTGGAGTTTGACAGAGGTGCCATGAAGCTGTGTTGTGACTTCTAGATCTTGTGTTTGGGTGGTTTTATGTCAAGCAGCTTTTGCTTTCTGGTCTATCATGTCCTTTGTTCAGCGTGCATGATTTTGGCCATGTCTACTTGAACTGTCTTTTTTGATGCGTTTAAACCTCTCCAATTGATATTTTTCTGGTATGAAGGTCTTGCTTACGGCAAGAGGCTGAACATCACTGCTGGAACGGCTGTAAGGTTCGAGCCGGGAGAGAGTAAGGTTGTCTCCCTCGTTGCTATCGGTGAGCTCCCATGTGATTGGTGGTCTCACTGATCTTTTTGCCATCTTGCTCATGCTTGCAGGAGGAAACAAGGTGATCCGAGGAGGCAACAACATTGTCGACGGGCCGTACTCTCCCTCCAACGTTGAGGAGATCGTCAAGAGATGCGCGGAGAAGTGAGGAGGAGGGAAGGAAGCGCGGCTTCCCATGCTGACGTGTTGTGGAGGGGCTTCAAGCACAAGCCGCAAGATGTCACCCATACGCAGAAGAAGGCGAAGACGGAGGTGAACCAGGCTCCCTTCCTCCCTCCTCCTCCTCCTTGTCACCTTTTCCTTCCTCTTCCTCCGCCTGTCAGTGAGAACTTCTCTCCGATGTTCTTGTTGCTATCACTGAATGTCGATCTTCTTGTTTCTCATCTCACGTGCGAGCTCGCAGGTCACCATTGACCGCAAGCACTATGCAGACATCTTTGGCCCAACCACAGGAGACAAGGTCAGAGCTGACTGTGGGTTGCGATGAGAATGGCCCGGGAAAAAGAGAGGATGAGGTGGAACCAGTTTTCGATCGCAAAGGAGGAGGACGTTGGTTTAGTGGTAGAGGAGGAGGAGGAGGGGGGCAAAGAAGATGAGAGGAGATATTAGAGATTTGATTGACGATGTTTCAGGTGCACCTCGGAGACACTGGGCTTGTCATCGAAGTCGAAAAAGACTATACAGTGTACGGCGACGAGTGCAAGTTTGGAGGTGGAAAGGTAAAGTCAACCCATTCTTGCGATCAAAAAGTTTCATTCTTTATAGCTCATCTGCACATCTGATGTTTATCCTGCTTGTTTCTAAGGGCTCCAGACTTCATTCTTTGCGCTCTCAACTTTCTGCTAGAGATTTTATTCGGTCGAAGAAGTGACGGCTATTGAAGGTGCTGCGCGACGGTATGGGGCAAGCAGCAGGAGAAAGTGCAGTCGACTGCTTGGACTGTGTCATCACGAACGCTCTTGTAAACCAGCGCGCTGCTCCTTGTCTTCCCATGCTTTGCTCGTCCTTGACCAGCTCTCTTCTTGCTTCCTTTTCATCCCCTACCCCCCACCCCCCTTGCCTCCCTCCCTTGAGGACTAGTCGCTTCTCCCCTTCGTCTCGCTGTCTCTTGATCTATCTGACTGTCTGTTTGCTACAGGTCGTCGACTACACGGGTATCTACAAGTGCGACATCGGCATCAAGGATGGAAAGATCGCAGGTCCGTCTCGACCCTCCTGCATGTCTGCTGCCTGTTGTCCCCCAGCTATCTCGTTGGTCGCCCTCCTCTTGCTTGTTCTCTGAGCGCATTCTGACCTTGTATCTCTCTTCTCCTTCTTTATTCCTCTGCTTCTCGCGTTTCTCCGTGATGTTCCGCCCTGCAGGGATCGGCAAGGCTGGCAACCCTGACGTGATGGAGGCAAGTTATCAAGAGTTGTCAAACATCGCACGCATGCCTATCCCCCCTTTCATCCATCCACACATACTACGAAGAATCCTTTTCTTTTACCGACTTCTTCTCCTCTCACCCTGACATTTCTCCACTGATCAGGGTGTCACCCCGGGAATGACTGTTGGTCCCGGCACCGAAGCCATTGCTGGGGAGGGATCTATCGTGACTGCAGGTGTGACATCTTTACTCTGCCCATCCTTTGCTCAACTGGCACATGATCCATGAGTTTCTCTTATCACTATCCTGCCCGCTGTCTCCGTTACGTCCCCTCTTCGCTACCTGCTCCTCTCCTCGTCCTCCCCTCTACCTCCTCCCCTCTACCTACTCCCTACATCTTCCTCTGTACTTCCAGTCTATCTCCTCTCCGTTTCTCTCCCTACTTCCATTCACTTTTCTCTCTACCTCCTCCCTCCCTTTTGCTGTGCTGGCTGATTCCTTTCTTATCACTCGTCGCCTTGTAAATCGCAGGAGGGATAGACACCCACATTCATTACATCTGCCCCCAGCAAGCCTTCGACGCAATTGCATCTGGTAAATCTCTTACGCGAGAGCGCAGAAGTAGCGACGATGCCCAGGATAACGAGAAGGAGGAAAGAGGAAGGGAGAAGTAGGAGAGAGGAGAGAGTAGGAGGAGAGAGAAAGTAAGAGAAAAGGAGGAGGACGGAGGGAGCAGAGGAAGGAAGAACATGGGAGATGAGAGTGAAATCACGTTCTGCTCAGGAGCTCAACCCATGTGCAGGTGTTACAACCCTCTACGGCGGAGGATCAGGACCAGCAACGGGAACGAACGCGACGACATGCACGGACGGATCGTTCTACACCAAGATGATGCTCCAGGCCACGGACAACATCCCTCTCAACTTCGGGTTCTCCGGCAAAGGAAACGCGTCGAAGCCTGAAGGTTTTGCAGCTCCTCCCTCCAACCTCCAACCTCCAACCTCCAACCTCCAACCTCCAACCTCCAACCTCAAACCTCAAACCTCCAACCTCAAACCTCCAACCTCCAACCTCCCTTGTGCTCCTACCCAAGGCGCCCATTCCCAACTCGCACTCGTTGGATATAGCCTCCTCCTTTCTCTCTCCCTGTCTTCACATTGTCTACTACTCGCTCCCTCTACCACGCCTGCTCCCCCCTTTCCTTCGCGCCTCCTCGTATGTGCTATACCGCATCTCACCTTTGTCAACCTGCAGGGCTACGAGAGATGATCGAGGCTGGATGTGCTGGTGGGAGGAGGAGAGGGGGCGGGAAGGAAGTGACGAGTTGCCCAGGTTTGAAACTGCACGAGGACTGGGGAACGACGCCAGCTGCTATCGATTCCTGCTTGTCAATCGCAGAGGAATACGATATCCAAGGTTTAATCCTCCCTCCCTCCCTCACTCCCTCCCTCCCTCCCTCCCTCCTTCCCCTCGCCCGGAGCTTCCCTGTTCCTGCTATTTTCTCCGTCTCTATGTTCTATCCATCTCTTCTCCGTCATGTTTCTTTCTACCCTCCTCCTTCTCTTTCTTCGTTTCTCTTGCTGACTTTCCCTTCTCTTCTTCCCAGTGACCATCCACACGGACACTCTGAACGAGAGTTGCTGCGTTGAAGACACGATTGCTGCCTTCAAGGTAAAAGGGGAGAGGAGGAGGAGGAGGAGGAGGAGGAGGAGGAGGAGGAGGAGGAAGAAGGGTAAAACTCTCTGCAGGGCAGAACCATCCACACGTATCACAGCGAAGGAGCAGGAGGCGGGCATGCTCCCGACATCATCAAAGTTTGTTCGCAGGTGAGAGACGTCAAGGTATCCTCTTGAATGCTCGTCTGACGCTCCTCAGGCAAACGTCATCGCTTCCTCCACCAACCCTACGAAGCCTTTCACGGTGAGGAAGGAGATTGGAAGGGATGAGAGAGTGGAGGGAGGGAGCTGGGAGCTGGGAGCTGGGAGCTGGGAGCTGGGAGCTGGGAGCAGTCAAGGTACAGGAGACTTACTGTGAGTTCAGATCAACACGATCGACGAGCATGTTGACATGCTCATGGTCTGTCATCATCTTGACAAGGTGCCTGGCTGTCATATTGTCGTCTGCTCCTCATAGGGAGCTCGCAGAACATCTCCGAGGACGTGGCCTTCGCTGAGTCCAGGATCCGAGACAAGACCATTCAAGTGAGTGCGACACTATCGACATGGCGGCTGCTCGTCCCCCCCCCCCCTCCCCGCATTTCCTGCCCTCACCTTCCTGCGTCCCTGCTGGGGAGGCTGCTGTGCGGGGTTGGGGCAACAGGCTGTCGTATCCGTCTTGAATTTGTGCAACGTTCAGGCCGAGGACATTCTTCATGACATGGGAGCGATCTGCATCATGTCCAGTGACTCTCAAGGTGTTTTCTTTGCCATTCCCATGTCACGTCTGTTTCACCTGTCGTGCTCTGCCTTGACCGCTTCCTCTGTCTTGTCAATCCCTCTCTTCTCTCTCCTCCCCCCCCTTGCATAGCTCTGCGTTCCCTTTCTCATGAGCTCCACTCTCCAGTCCTTGTCATCTTTCTTTCTTGTCGTCTTCCTCTTTCCAGCCCAAACAATCTGACCAACTATTCCCTGTGAACAACACTCTTGTTCCTCGCTCCTCCCGTAACATCATCGGTCTCCCCTCCTCCCCCTCCCTGCTTCTCGTTTGCTTCCCCGTTTTCTGTGCATAACATTCAACTGCACTAGCCATGGGAAGAATCGGAGAGGTCATTGCAAGGACGTGGCAGACTGCTGCAAAGATGAAGCAGCAGCGGTAAACTAAAGATCCTCTTCCTCCTTCTCCCTCCTCCCTCCTCCCTCCTCCCTTCTCCCTCCTCCCTCCTCGCTCTTCCCTTTCCGCCACCTCCACCTGCATCTGCAACTCTACCACCTGCTCCTCCTCGGCTCGTTTGCGCCGCCCTCCCTGGCCCTTTGTTCCTTTTGCTCTACCCCGCAAGTTTTACATCCCCACTTCAAAGATCTATTTCCCTGCTTACCTGCCGCACCATGCAGCGGGACTCTTCCTGAAGACAAGGAGTCAGACAACCTCCGCGTCAAGGTCCTTTGCTCCTGCTCTTCCCCGCAAGCTCTGACGGTGTTCCTTCAGCGCTACATCGCCAAGTACACCATCAACCCTGCCATTGCCCACGGATTCTCCCAAGTGATCGGATCCATCGAGGTCTCCCCCTCTCCCTTGACAGGCTTCCAACTTGCTCGTCTCCCATCATCCCCCGATGCTCCTCCCTTCCGATGATCCCCTTCTCTTCTTTGCGCCTTCCATCGTCCCACAACATCTACCCCGTCCTCCTCGCGCCATGTGCCACCTCCCTCCTCTCTTGCTCTACGAAGTTGAAACTCCTCACTCTCCTTGTGTAGGTTGGCAAGATGGCAGACCTTGTCATCTGGAAACCTGAGTTCTTCGGAGCCAAACCTGAGATGGTCCTCAAGGGAGGTTTCATCGCATGGGCGCAGGCATTCCTCCTCCTCCTCCTCCTCCTACCATTCTGCTGTTTCTGCTCCTGTTTCTGCTTCTTTTTTTCCCCGCCTCTCCGTCTCCCTCTCCTCTTCCTGACACTACTCTTAGATGGGCGACCCCAACGCCTCCATCCCCACTCCCCAGCCTGTCATGATGCGCCCGATGTTCGGCTCCTTCGGCCCTAAGGTAGAGCTTGTGAGCAGGAGGCCTGGGGGTATGACCAGAGGCGGAAGGCGATCGGGCAGAGCTGCGTCACGTTCGTGTCGCAAGTGTCTCTCAGCAAGGGCATCGTCGCCTCCTACGGCCTGCAGAAGGTCCCGTGCTGCCTGTCCTGCTTTCTCCTCTTACCCTGTAGGCAGAGGGCAGTTGCAGTGACTGGGACCAGGACCGTCGGAAAGAAAGATATGAAGTACAACGACGCAACTCCGAGCATCAACGTAGATCGTCGTTCTTTTCCTTGTTCCCAAGCCTGCTTCCAACTTTCTCCTTCTCTTGTTGTCACCACTTTCCTTGCTCCTTGTCTGCCCCCTTCTATTTTCTTACACTCGCGTTCAGGTCAACTCGGAGACGTATGTCGTGACGGCGGATGGCGTGGAGCTCAGGTGAGATTGACGTTAAGCATTGAATGAGATGATGATGAGGTTTGGTTTGACAGCTGTGCTCCTGCCGATCGGCTTCCTCTTGCTCAAAGATACTTTTTGTTCTAAGAGAGCAAAGTGCTGTTATGATGATCAAATTGTAGTCGTGGTGATCAATCTTTAAAATCTTGCCATGCGCTGGTTCGATGCGTGTTAAAAATTAAACAGACTTGAATGAGTTTGCTGCAAGCGAGCACCTTTTCCAAAAGGGTTGGTTTTATTCACAACAAGTACACCATGCTAAACTTGTAAAAAATTCTCAACACCGAAGCTAGTGATGGTTGGCGATATTTCTCCGCAAGCAGCGGTATCCTCCTTAGAGATGAGCTCGATCTCTTGGTCTGAGGTTGACGCAGGGTTCGAGCTCGTGGACGGCTGCCTGATAATCCTGCGTCTTCTGCGAAAATCCACCACCTTGTCTTCGCCTTCCTTTCTCGTATGGCTACTAGCGCACGTATTCTTTCCTGGCTTAAAACTGTACAAGAGATTTGCCGTTCGTCTCCTCGGTTTCCGTGATCCTTCATGCTTGCTCATGGGGGAGAAGGCTGCGCCTGGGAGAGAGCAAGATCTCAAGGGAGGGAGGGAGGGAACTTGTGCACTGTGGTCTGTGTCGGATAAGCTTTTCTCTGTGTCCGAGATTGATGCTTCATGATCCCCTTTAGTTCCTAACATGTCGGCGTATTTCATGGCTAAGATCACACAGTCCATGTGTGAGTCCGAGCCCTCTTGCAAAGCAAATCTGCGCCGAGCAAAAGGCTTCGAGGTATCCATCGGATGGTTCTTGAAAAATGCAGATGGCTGGATCGAGACTGCCTCTCTCTGCAAGGACAGCTTTGCTGCGCTAAGCTGCACTCACTCGCTTGACTCGTGGGATCAATGATCTATCACTTTCGATGCTTTGATAAACTGTGAACAAGAGTTGGCTTGCAAAGCAGAAGGTTTGGAAAGAACAAATCAAATTTGAAAAACTCCACAAGCTCAGCAGTTGGGCAGTTTTCTGGGTCAAATCCGAGATGTGATATACAGGCAAGGATTGAGATGAAGAGGATGGAAGTGAATTCTTAAGATGCAAGGTGGGCGTCGGCGGCTGCGGCGGCGGAGGAGGAGGAGGAGGAGGTCGAGGAGGAGGAGGAGGAGGCGGTGGGTGGATAGAAAGCCGGTCTGAGCCGCACAGGATGTGTGTTCTAGTAGCCAATGGCTGTGTGGAGGAAAAGTCGAAGTTGGTAGGTGGGGGTAGTAGCGCCTCGGAATTTAGTGGGTGGTATGATACCAAAATTACTTCATATTGGGGGGTCATGAATTGCAAGGGTGGGGTCCAAGGAAGGGTCAAAGGAGAAGTAGGCGGATAAGCTGGGGTGGTATGTATATACCGGTTCTTTTCTAGGGAAGAAGAGGGGTATATATGGGACACACCGGTCTTATTTCAAGCAAATTCAGGGTAGTCACGGGTCGGTATGGAGTTAAGTAGGAGACTGGGGGGTGGGTAGCAATGGGGCTACAGTATCCACATGCCAACCACCCCCTTGCTTTACCACCCCTTTGAGAGATCACCCACCCTTCATTTCGTATCTCAGATCTATATGTATCACCCACCCCTATATCTTCCTGAATTTACCCCTGGCACCCCGTACCCCAACAACCTCACGCTTCAGTGCATTGCGAAACGGTTTCAGTTATTTGATGTAACCGACTTTAACTCCTTCCATGAGGCAGAGCATGGTAGGGTATCCAATTACCCCCTCTTTTCTGGAGCAAATAAGGGGTGATGATCCAAGAAATGGCTTGAACCACGTGGGGTGGGGTGCTTTTGTTGGTATAAAGGTTAATTCCTGATTGCTGACTCTGTATGAGTCGAAAACACTCATTTTCGCTGATATCTCTAAGATCACGTCTTCTTTTACTGCTGGGTCTGTAAGGCACCTCGAAATACTTTATCCCTTCCGAACCTATTGAGGGGTAGAGTTCCAATGGGGGGTGGGGGGTGGAATATCTCGGTACAAATGGGTACCAGATATCACATCTAGCACACTTTTAAAACCCAAGTTTTGAAATGTTCCCCGTGAGGGGCGGATCCTCACCAGGGGGTACCTATAGCATTCATATGCAAAGGGGGGGTGAGAGTGGTCATTGCTAAGGGATAAATGGCAGCATCGAAACCCCTCCCTTTCGTAAAGTCGGATTTATTGCTGGCCTACCCCTTACCCCCAAGTCATACAGTGTTTGGAGGGGTCATAACCTGTTGGTTACTACATGGGCCATGTTGATATCTGAGCTGCTCACCGTCTGCCCCTCCCCGAAGTTCGCTGCCCTTTCTTGTAGTCGTAAGTTCATGTTCAACAACTTTGACTGCCTCGAAGATTTTGCTATACTTTCTGCCGAGGCGGGCTGTATTCTATCCTAACCGCGGCGGGCAACTTCCGGTCACGCCGGTCACCAGTGTCACTTATCTTTAGCCCCTGCCTGACTAGGCCCCATGACAACTTGAGAAATAAAAAGCCTCCCCCTTCACTGTCAACATCTCCTCCCGTGCGGCAGCAGGCGCCGCGCCCCGCGCCATGATCCGATGATCCCGGAGTCCGACCGCGGCACGGTACGCCGGAGTACGGGGCCCGGGGCCCCCGGGGGACCGCCGGCTTACCGCCGTTCAACCGTTACCGTACCGTTAGCCTAGTAGTACAGTGGTGCCACCGGGCCCGACCGTACGGTCCGTCGGACTCGACAGTGCCGGCGCCCCCCCCCGGCGCCCAGCCTAGTACGCCCGCCCCGCCCGCGGCACGCCCGGCTGGGCCGCCGGGCGCCGCCGCGCCGCACTGGGCCACGCCCCGGCGGCCCCGCCGTGACGAAGCACTGGCAAGTTTGTTAGACGGCTCAGTTGTACTGTGCCAAAGTAATGCAGACATCATATCGACCTCAGTTGCAACAAGGCACAGATTTTCAAGTGATGTGAAACCCAAGCATCCAGACATGAGGGGACCTTAGCACGACGGCTAGGCCCGCCGGGCCTTTGTTGAAGCTTGAAGGCGCCTCCTCTTCGTCGCAAGCACTATATTGCCGCCTCGAAAACCGTTGAACACTGTGACACGTAACTTAAGGGTCACGGCGCCGCGGCGTCTTGGTTTACAGGAGAGTTTCAGTGTTACAGTTAGTAACTTTGAACTCGGGGCTACCATCATCTGACTGGCACGGCTGGCATGCGATCCGCGATGGCAGCACGGTACGGTGTCGGGCGGTCTGACCGTTGTCACGGTGCCAGTGATGATCGGAGCCCCGGCGCCGGCGCCCGCCCGGCGGGCGGCCGCACCGGGCCGCGCCGCACCCGGCCGGCGGAGCCGCAGTCAGTGACGCCGCTTGACGGTGACACTGAGAAAGTTCCCGAAGGTTGACAAGTAAAGGGGGTGACTCTCACAAACTTGAAAGCCCGGCCTCAGCCGGCTTCGACTCTGGAAGGCGTTCCGAAGTTCAACGGTTATTTTAGGCCCCCGAGAGCGCTAACTCTGCTATCCTGCTGGAGACGGTATCGTCGCACTGCAGCGTGAGCATGGCAGCTCTCTGCTCCTCAGCAGTCAGACTTGACACCCCTGCCGCAGGATCTTCTCACCTGCCCCAGCTCGATCGACCGGTCGATAGGCAGACCCTGGAGGGTGTTGAGTGCAAGAGGAGCAGGGAGGGGGACGACCTTGACTATGCCGCGGATGAAGCCAGCTGCGAACGTGTCTCCTGCTCCTGACGTGTTGACAATGCTCAGATTCTCTGCCTGAGGAGGAGGAAACTGAACGATTGAGACATCGCCTGGAGGCTCGTCATGGCGAGCAGGAGAACTCACTAAGAGCTGCCTGTGGTATCGTCCTTCCTCCCATAGAACACTCCATCCTTCCCTGCTGTCATGAGCACGTTTCTCACGCCTGAGTCCAAGACGACAGAGAAGAGCTGGGAGAGCTGGAGGTCTTGGACGGGCCTGGTCACAGGAGCAGGGAAGGAGGACCTCAGGGGGAAGCAAGGGGGAGCGGCTCAAGTCTCAGACCTGTTGGAAGGAAGGAGACACTCTACCATGGCGCGAAGCTCCAGTTCGTTGGGGGATATGAAGTCTATATTCCCGAGGAGGCTACTTTGAGCCACCAGCCTCGCCTGCCAGCAACATTACCCTCCTCCTCCGCTGCCGCCATCTACCTTAGGAGCTGAAGTCGGCTCAAAGAACACTGGAACGCCCCCCTCTCGCGCTACCTGCCCTCCCTGTCAGCGAGCCAGGCGCGCTGGCCTCCTTCAACCTCAAGCAGCGTCCGAAATGTCTCAGGCGGGACATTCCCATCCAGGACGAGCAGCCGAGCCCGTCGGATCTTATCTGCCGCCGCCTCAAGGACGTAGCCTGTGGAGATGCTGCTGAAAACGTCCATGTCCGCGATCGCAGCCACCAAGTCACCTTCCCATGGCCGTGAGCTCGGAGGGTTCAAGGAAGGAGTCTTACCCTCCTCGTTCGCCACTGCTAGGTAGTGGGCGGTAGTGCCCCCCTGCACCACATGCGGGTTGAAGGTCTCGATGCCTCCCCGATCCTCCCACCTCCTCAGGAACTGCTTCCTGCGTCAAGCGTGAGCGGAGATACAAGGAAAGAGGGGGGAGAGCACGAGTGTAGCAGCTTACCCAGCCTCGTCGTCTCCGATTGCAGAGAAGAGAGTCAGCTTCTGGTTCAGGAGGAATAGCGCCTCTACAAGAGAAGAAGTTTCATCTCCCCCTCCTGTTTTTCCCCTCCTCCTCCTCCTCCTCCTCCTCCTCCTCCTCCTCCTCCTCCCCCCCCCTACCTGCTATGTTGTGCCCGACCCCTCCAACGCTTCTTTGCACTTTGCCCGGGTTGGAAGACCCTTTCGAGAAGGAAATTTCAGAGCAGGGAATGGAAAGAAAAACAGAGCAACCAGGAATCAAACGGTCCTTTGGTTTCCCTGAAACATCTTCTACACATCCTCCCACTATCACTACATCGCTGTCCTCTGCTGCAACCTTACTCATCCCAGCTCCTCCTCCTCCCCGTTCTCCTCCTCCCACTCCCTTCCACTGTAACTCCCCACTATCGTTCCCTCCCCTTCCTCGGACCACAGAGGGAGGAAGTGGAGGGTACGAGTACGCTCCCATGTTCATGAGAGCGACGGCAACGCTCGCCCCTATCTTCGCGTTGTTCTTCACAAGCGCCACGTTTGCTCGCAGCGACTCTCCCTGCGTTAGCTCGTTGATCCTCTTGAGGAGGAACGGCGTTACCCTGTTCCCTTCCACCTGCGCCGCTTGTTAGCCTCCCCTCCTCCCCCACTGACACCTCGACGTCTCCACCGCTCTGCCTACCAACTTGACCTGCACTGCGCTGTCCAGGATTCCACTCCTTTCCTCTCGTCTCCTCCTCTGACTCTCCACTCCTACCTCTCCCTCTCCTGACCCACTTCCTCTTCTGCTTACCCGCTGCTCCTGCGCCTCCATCAGCGCCTTGTGGATGGCTTTCTCCACCTGCTCTCCCTCAGCAGCAGATTCCTCTGGGATCGGAACACCGAGGACTGCGGGGAGACAAAAGTCAGAGGAGAACCAGAGGAAAAGGTAAGGGAAGCAAGATGAAGTCGTACAATCGGAACAAAAGGCGAAGGGGAGGAGGGAAGAGGCGGAGAGAGGACGAAAGGAAAGAGGGGCTTGAGAACTGGGGGTGGAAGGAGGAGATTTGCTACAGTCTATGACCTGCTCCTCCCTTCATCCCCAGTCTGGACATGTTGGAGATGATTTGAGCTACATGCTCCGGAGTGTCCACTCGAATCTGTAACCAGTGAGAGGGGGAAAGAAGGGGAAAGCAGGGACAGACGAGGAGAAGGAAAAGAGGAGGAGGAGGAGGAGGAGGAGGAGGAAGAGAAGCTGGAGCTGGAGCTGGAGCTGGAGCTGGAGAAAGAAGACGAAGAGGTAAGGAGCAGCAGGAGGAGGCGGTACCTGCGAGGGGCACCCGCTACTCCTGGTGAAGAATGCAGGAAAGGAATCGGATTGGTAGCTCATGACAGGGACAGAGAACGTCTCGAGGAACTCGAGGGTGCGGGGGATGTCAAGGATGGACTTGGCGCCTGCGCAGACGACGGCGACGGGGGAGGAAGCCAGTTCTGTGAGATCGGCAGAGACGTCGCCGGTGGTTTCAGCTCCCCTATGCACCCCTCCTATCCCCCCCGTCACGAAGACCCGTATGCCTGCCATGCTCGCGATCTTCATGGTGGAGGAGACGGTAGTCGCCCCGTCCTGCTGGCTGGAGAGGAGAAGCGGGAGGTCCCTGCTTGCCGTCTTGCGCACTCGCTGACCTCGCTCGGCGAGCAGGTGCAGGGCCTCACGCGAAGTGCCGACGTGAATCTGGCCATGGAGGATCGCGATGGTTGCCGGCACTGCTCCTCCAGCCCTGATCACTTCCTCCACCTCCAGCGCCATGTTGTAGTTGCTGGGGTAGGGCATGCCGTGCGAGATGATGGTGGACTCCAGCGCCACGATGGGCTTGTTGTCTGCCATGGCTGCGAGAACTTCTTGCGAATAGGAGAGAGGAAGGGGAGGGGGGGAAGGGGGAGGAGACGAGGAGAACGCTCGTGAGAGTCGGAGGGCGCTGGTTCCAGCATGCTTGAGACTCCAACGCTTCCAGCAGCTCCTCATGGCCACGAGGGCAGGCATGGCAGCAGCTTGTTTCCCGCCCTTCCTCAACTCCTGCAGCTATCGAACCTTGTCAGCAGCACAACCTTGCTCCCCGTCTGCCCCTGCCCCTGCCCCTGCCCCTGCCCCTGCCCCTGCCCCTGCCCCTGCCTCTGCTCTGCCCTTGCTTCCCGTTCACGTCCTTCCCAGTGATCGCCCGCTAGTTTTGGACTCTCCCTCTGTCATCCCTCCGGTCCTTCACTCCCCCTCGCCATCGCCTCATCTATCTCCCCACTTCTGATCAGTCTTGTCCTTGCCCCCACACCCCCCCATACCCCCCCCCCCCCCTCCCTCTCCCCCTCCTTTCTTCCTCTCCCTGCCCCCTTCCCCATCCCGTCGGGATATTTTCGCCCAGATTTTCGCCCTGGGTCTGGCCCTGGGTGTTCTGGTCCTGGTTCTGGTCAGGAAGGGAACAGGGGAGGCAGGGCGAGCGGGGGGGGCGGGGGGGAGGAGAGGAACGAGCAGGGCAGCGAGGAGGAGGCAGAGCCAGGCAGGGTAGCTGTTGGGAGAAGGGAGAAGAGCATAGAAAGCTAGTGAGGGAGGGAGCTAGTGAGGAAGTGAAGGAGGGAGGGGGGAAGGAGCAAGCGAGAAAGTATGACAGGGGAGGGTAGAGACAGATCGGAGAGATAGCGAGGGGAAACAGAGCATGAAGAGATGAAGAAGAGGGAGTGGGAGGGAAGGGGAGGGGAGGGAAGGGAAGGGATGGGAAGCAAGAAGAGGGAGGAGGGAGTACAGTGAGAGGAGCTGGCAGGCACCTTCCTCTCCATTGTTGCTGCTGCAACTCGATGGCGGTGGCGCACACACTGTAGTAGCACTACAATGACCAAGGTGTACAACCCCCCCCCCACCCCCCTCTCCCTCTTCATGCTGCTCCTGCTCCTGCTCCTGCTCCTCCTCTCGTTTTCCTCCTCCTCTGCTCCTTCTTCTCCCTTCCTCTACTCCTCCTCCAAAGCCTTCGTTTCCTCCTTTACTTCTCCCCCTTCTCCCCTTCCCCCCTCCTCTGTCCCTGCTCTCTTCTTCTTCTCCTCCTCCTCCTCGTCGTCGTCCTCTACTTCTATTCCTTCCTCTCCTCCTTCCTCTCCTCCTTCTCCACCTCCTTCTCCTCCGTCCTCTCCTTCTCTATACTCTCCTCCCCGGCCTAGCTCCGCCTTCTCCTTCTCCTCCTCCCCAGGTGAACTCACCCTCCGCAGGTTACCATGCACGGTCTCGTCCTGATCCTCACTCTCGTTTGGTCGGCGCTCGTTGGCTCCATGGCTCTGATCATGCCCTCCCTCTGCCTCCTAGGTCGACCTGCGCGCCAGGTAGAACTCTCCTGCTCACTTGGCATGCAGTCCTGCCCTTCGACGGCTCTAGGATGCTCTACCGCCAGTGGAGTGCGTACGTGGCCAAGGTGCTGCTGCTGCTGCTGCTGCTGCTGATGATGATGATGATGCTGATGATGATGATGATGATGATGATGATGATGATGATGATGATATGATGATGATGATGATGATGATGATGATGCTGCTGCTGCTGCTGCTGCTGCTGCTGATGCTGATGATGATGATGATGATGATGATGATGATGATGATGATGATGATGATGATGATGATGATGATGATGATAATGATGATGATGATGATGATGATGATGATGATGATGCTGCTGCTGCTGCTGCTGCTGCTGCTGCTGCTGCTGCTGATGATGATGATGATGATGATGCCGCTGCAGCTGTTGCTTTGTGGAAAGGTGACGAGGTTTTAGATGTGGTTCACTCTAGCGACCCTGATGATTGAGAGATACGCAAAGGTGATGACAAAGTCCGAAATGAAGGAGATGGCGGCAAAAGTTTCACTGCCCTCCTCCTAACAGTCTTCTTCCTCGTCCCAGAAGTTGACATTCTCCTCTTCTCTCCCCGTCCATCTTTCTTTGTCCTACTTTCTCATCCTTTTGCTTTCCCTTCCCCCATCATCTTCTTTCTACTAATCGTCGCCATTTTCCTTGTCCTCCTCCTCGTTATCAACTTTGACTGATTTCGACTCTTCCAGGTCAAGATCGTTCTCTCTGGAGATGACCTGCCGTATGCTGAGGTCGGTCGCTTCCGTTGCTCCTTCTTGCTCTCCTCCTTGTTTGCTCATCATCTCTTTTTCTCATGCTCGTGCCTGTATTGCAAGAGTCGTACGAGAAGCACCTGTTCATCTTTCTCTCCTGCTGCTGCCGTTGCTGCTGCTGCCGTTGCTGCTGCTGCTGCTGCTGCTGCTGCTGCTGCTGCTGCTGCTCCTCCTCCTCCTCCTCCTCCTCCTCCTCCTCCTCCTCCTCCTCCTCCTCCTCCTCCTCCTCCTTCTCCTCCTCCTCCTACTCCTGCTCCTCTTCCTCCTCCTGGTTACCTTCTCTCAAAACGCATCCCTTTCCTCCTCCTTTTCCTCGTGACCTCTCGTCCTTGCAACAGCCTGCCATGATCGTCTGCAACCATCGCACGAGGATCGACTGGATGTTCATGGTGAGGAGGAGGAGGGAGGGCGTGCGGCTGAGGCTTCTCAGTGGTGCCTCTGCCTGCGCCTCGGTCTTCTCAACTGCATGAAGATCGTCCTCAAGGACTCGCTGAAGAGCATCCCAGGGTTCGGGTGGGCCATGCAGGTTCGTCTGCTGCCCAGGCCTCTTGCTCTCTTGCTCCCTGCTCCCTGTTCTCGTGCTCCCTCTCCTACCTCGCTGCTCCCTCTCCTTCCTCTTCCTGCCCTCCCTGGGTTCCTTTCTTTCGCGTCTTTTACCTTGCTTCTTTCATCTACCTTGTCCCTGTTCGCAGAGGGTTCTACCAAATCGTAAACAACCCCCTTTTCCCGGCTTGCCCTTCTTTTTCTCTCTTCCTCGCATCTCCATCGGCTTTCATCTTTTCCCATCTTTTCCTCCTGTTCCTGTCCGTTCCCAATGGTCTCTTCAGAGTTTTCTCTTTGTCTTCCTCGCTCGTGACAAGTCGATCGACCTCAAGCACATGGGCGAGATGGTCGGATCTTTCTCTCCTTCAGTTGCACAACTCTCTTACATCTCTGTCAGCTCGGATATCATACCAACAACAAACTCCCGCTCTCTCTCATTCTGTTCCCCGAGGTAAAACCCACTGGAGATACTTGTTCATGTGTTGGAGGGAAGGTTGTGATATGAAATGAGATAACTCACTGTTGCTGTCTCTGATCTATCTTCCTCTTCCAGGGGACGGACCTCAGCCCTCACAATATGGCCAAGTCTGATGCGTTTGCAAGTCAGAACGGCCTGACCAAAGTGAGAGATGAAGGGGAGGACGCGGTCGAGTTGAGGAGAGGAAGAAAGAGCTCGACTAGTGCAGGAGCTGGTGTGCATACGCACTATCCGTGATAGACATCAAGGGTAGAAATCAGTGTAGTAGAGAAGGTCAGAGATTTGTAAGGAGGCAGGTATGAGGGGGGGAGAGCGCGAGATGCTAGAAGGGTATGAAACCGGTGAAGTGCAAGGGAGCAATGAACGAGAGGCAAAGGAACAGGAACATGGGCAGGAGAAGCAGAGCAGGAGGTGGTGGTGGAGGAGGAGCAACAGGAGGAGGAGGAGCAACAGGAGGAGGAGGAGCAACAGGAGGAGGAGCAGCAACAGGAGGAGGAGGAGCAACAGGAGGAGGAGCAGCAACAGGAGGAGGAGGAGCAACAGGAGGAGGAGGAGCAACAGGAGGAGGAGCAGCAACAGGAGGAGGAGGAGCAGGAGGAGCAACAGGAGCAGGAGGGGCAGAAGGCAGTCAGGTGGTGCTCTAACGACTCTTGCAGTACCGGCACGTGCTGCACCCTAAAGTCATCGGTTGGGCGAGGAGCATCTCTCTTCTACGGTCCAGGTGCTCCTTTCTGCTCTGCTGGGTGACAAGTGCTGCTCCAGAGCTACCTGTCCAGCTGTGTACGATGTCACCATCGCCTACCATGACTACGAGGAGGTTTTCAAACTTGATAGGGAGGGTGTCAAATGGGTTGACTTAGTGGGGTAAGGGTGAAAGGCCGAGCGAGCTCTCCCTGCTGTCCTCGCGGTACCCCGCGAAGTTCATCTGCACGTGCAGGCAAGAACGTCTAGCATCTTCCCTCCTCCCTGGCCTAGTTCCTCCCGCTCCTTCTCTCCTCCCTCTCCTCCCTCTCCTCCTTCTCCTCCCTCTCCTCCCTCTCCTCCCTCTCCTCCCTCTCCTCCCTCTCGTCCTCTTCTTGTCACTTCCTCCCCTGAAATTTCTTGTTGCCTCCTTCCTCCCTTTCCCTTCCTCTTCCCCATCCTCTCCTACCTCCCCAGCCCTCCTTTCCGATTCTCTTCTTCCTTTCAGACAGTCGTTCGCCCCGAGACATCGCTCACTCTCATTCTCAGCGTCATCCCATGTCGCTCATGCCAGAATCTCCAGCTGAAGTAGAAGAATGGATCAAACAGGTAAAATTGCTCCTCCTCCTTCGTCTCCTCCTCCCAGCTTCAGCCCTTCCTGCTGTGTCCACGAAAGATCCATTCATGCTTTTCCGTTTACACTCGAACAAACCCGATTTCTGCATCCTCGTCTTCATTTCCATCTCCATCAGCACTGACTCTTCTCTCTCTCTATCTCCACCATCAACACTGAGTCCTCTCCTGCTCTGCCCTCCTCCTCTCCTGACCACCGCCACTACCATCTCCTCCCCTCCCATCATTTCCTCGTGCGTGACTCTCGCAGTCGTTTGCCCGCAAGGAGAAGCGTCTCCACCAGTTCTACGGCAACTCCAAGACTTTTGGTCCTCCTTCCAAGCCTCCTATCGATGAGGTGAGCGCTGCTATTGCTGCTACTGCTCCTCCTTCCCAACCTCCTTCTCAACCTCAACCTCAACCTCAACCTCCTCGTCTTCATACTCCTCTTCGTCCTCTTCTTCCTGCTTTCTACCCGATCAAGTCATCAGTCCTCTCCTCCTCTTCATCTCTCTCCTCCCTTATATCCCCCTTCCCCCCCTCTCCGGTCCATTTCTTTGCACCTTCACATTCTTGGCCGTGTGCAGGTTGAAATTGAAAACCTCTGGCGACAGTCGCTCATGTTCTGGAGCCTCGCGTCCGTTCTTGTCCTCGTCTCTTTCTTCCTTGTGTTCGGGTGGTTTCTTGCGGTTCGCAACTCCCCCCAATCCGCCCTTCCTCCTCCTCATCCCTCCTCCTCCTCCTCCCTTCTCCTCCTTCTCCTCCCTTCTCCTCCTCCCTTCTCCTCCTCCCTTCTCCTCCTCCCTTCTCCTCCTCATCCTTCTTCACCTCTTTCTGCATCTCTTTTCCCTCTTGCTCATCCTGCTGCTCTCCTCTACTGGTTCTCTCCTCCCGCCATCTCTCTCTCTCTCTTCTTATCTCAGTTCCCTCCCTCGTTATCCTGTTCGCTCGCTCCTCCTTCTTCTCCTCAATTCTCACTTCTCACAGAGGGCTTTTGTTTCAGGCTTTCTCAGCCATCGTGTGGGTGCTGCTCACAAAGGTTCTGCCCTCCTCTTGCTCTGCAATGATCCGCTCCTTCTCTCCTGCCCTGTTTGTCCTGCTCACTATCCTTCCCAAAGCATCCTTCCCAAAGCATCCGTCCGTTGATTGTTGTGCTTTCCTCGTCCTTTCTTCACTTTCCCCTCATGAGGAAGTCGGGTGAACGACAAGCAGGCAGGGGGCGTTGATATCATCGAGCTATGGCTACATGGGGAGAGAGGCTTGTACAGGTAGGAGCAGAGCAAGTGAGATGACAAGGAGGATGTTGATACCCACAAAACAGGCGGCTGATTGAGACACAAGACAAGTTCGACTGATCGCAACACCAGGCATCTTCTCTTCTCCTCTTCTCTTTATCGTGCCATGTGAGTGAAAGGATTATTGTACAAACACGCTTCTTCCAGACAGACGACAGCGCTCTTGTCGATCGATCAGATTTTTGTTGAGGCCAGAGGTATCACCCTGTCGATCTTGTACACTAGACCATTCCTTGCCTCAACGCTGCGAGTCAGCAAGACAACCAACAAGCAATGCAACTCGCCCTACCTCGATCGCTGGTTTTATCCGCCACGACCCGTCTACAGTAGCGATGTCAGAGGACAGAGGAGTAGGAGACAGAGGACGAGAAGACAGAAACATGAAGTGGAGGGGCAAGGGACGGAAGAGGAGAAGACAGAGAAGGAGCAGGAGGAGCTCGATACGGAGAAGGAGATGGAGAAGCAGGGGAAGGTAGCGATTGGCAGCACATCAGAGTACCTGAGAACATAGTCCTGATGCAGTCAAGGGTGATGATGGTGTTGGATATCGACTGGATCTGACCGGCCTGCTCCAGCACGACACGTGGGAGGCGGGTGATCGCTACATGCCCCATCTGCAGCACAGCAGCACGCATGAGGGGAGCGAGTGAGACCGCAGAGGAGGCGGCAGCATGAACAGGAGCAGGCAAGAGCGACGGGGCAGGCAGGCAGGCAGGCAGGCAGGCAGCACGCGTGCTCCTCCTCTGCTTCTTCCCTCACCATGAATGTCCTCCATGACTTCCTGTCGTAGTTGAACGTGTCCGCCCTCGCTCTCTTCACCATTCACGTCAGACCCATTCTACCTCCTCCCCCTCCCCTTCCCCTCCTTCCCCCTTCATCCCCTGCCCTTCCCTTCTGCGTCCTACGGCTCTCGCCTGTTCTCTCCCGCCACACCCTCCTTCCTCTCCTCCTCACCACAAACGCGTCGTTGCTGGGAGCAAACACAACTATCATCCGCCGCTCAGCATCGCTACTCGACCATCCCATGGACGCAGCCATCCTTGTTAACCAACCAGGGCCAGCAGCATTGAGGTCCGGCTTCCGCCTGGTCCGGCCCTCATACGAGCGATCGCTCTGCTCCTCTCCTTCCTCCTCCTTCGCAACATCCTCCATCGCGCTCCAGAAGCCATGGAAGACCGACAGGTCCTCCTGGTCCCTCAGCACTTGTTCTATCGTACTCCACCTGCTACTGAACAAGTAGCTCCCAGCATACACAGTCAGTGCCGCTGCTCCTATCGAGCCAGCCACCGTTAGCACAGAATATCCTCCTCCTGCTCCTCCTGCTCCTCCTGCTCCTCCTGCTCCTCCTGCTCCTCCCTCCATCGTCCCCCATCCTCCTCCCTCCATCGTCCTCCTGCCCAGCGCCTCCAGTTCCTTCAACCACCGCACCATTGCACCCAATCCAGGGGATCACCCGACCCCCTCCACGACCTCTATTAGGTATACACCCCTCCTTCCAAGTCCACCTGTTCTTGACCTTCGGCAGCCCCAGCATGGCACGGTGGGGGAGGAGGGAGGAGGAGGAAGGAGAGGAGAGGAGGAGGAGGAAGTGACCGTCCTGCATGCTGGCTGAACTTGTGGCTGCAATGAGGCTCTGAACCCTGCTCTTCTGCTACTGGTGCTGTCTCACACGCCGCATCCCTGCTCCCTGCTCCGGGTAGTGACGTGCATCGTGGAAGTGAAGGCACGGGGGAGGAAGGGCTCCGAGTCGAGTCGCCTGCAGCTGGGCAGATGGCGGAGGCGGAGGTGGAGGAGCTGAAACGTCAGCTGAACGAGAGGGAGGAGTCCCTGAGCGCGTTCAAGGAGAAGACGAAGAAGTACCTGGAGTCCAAGACCAAGAAGTTCGAGGAGCAGGTGGAAGAGGACAGGCGGCAGTATGAGCGAGAGCTCGAGAGTCTTAAGGAGGAGAACGAGCGGCTGAAGAAGCAGCTGGGTGGTGATGGCCAGAGCAACGGGCTGCAGACGGTGGACCAGTTGGCTCGGGAGTTGGAGGAGGCAGCGGCGGAGAAGTCTGCGCTGAAGAATCAAGTAGCGCAGCTGAGCAAGCAGCAGGCGGCGCTGGAGTCAAGTCTCAATGGCGCGCAGAAGGACAAGAACGCCGCCATGCAGAGCCTCGAGGCCTGCCAGAAGCGGCTCAAGGACGCGGAGGAGTCCGCCAGGTCCGTTCACGTGCTCAGAGCTCAGCTGGAGGAGATGCCGAAGTTGCGGGCGCAGGCAGAGGAAGTTCACAAGCTCAGGGCGCAAGTGGAGCGACTGTCGATGTCTGCGGGCGGTCAGGAGGGAGGAGACTCGGAGCGCCTGCGGGGGGAGCTCGAGCAATCGAAGGCGGACAACGAGATACTAAGAGCAAAGGTAGAGGATGTTGAGGACAAAGCTCGACAGGCGCTGAAGAAGGCGGTGGAGACGAAGAGACACTATGAAGCGATCAACTCCGAGCTGACGGCGAGAGTGGAGGCTCTGGAGCAGGAGAGGGAAGGAGGAGGCAACAACCAAAGATCGGAGGAGGGTAACGAACTCAGGGAAAGACTGCAGAATCTTGAGGAGGAGCTAAGGGTGTGCAAGCAGAGGGAGGAGGAGCTGCAGCAGACGAATCAGGAAACAGTCGACAAGACCAAGAGGATGCTGTCCAAGGCCGTAGAGACGAAGAAGGGCCTGGAGAGAGAGAACGCAGAGCTCTCGTCTCAGCTTGAAAGGCTTTCCCAAGAGCTCCAAGAATCAGTAGAGAAACTGAACAAGACGGAAGCAGAACTAGAAAACATCAAGAACGCCAACACGCACCAGCTTGCTCAACAGGAGTTGGAGAAAGAACAGAGGGAAAGAATCAAAGGGATGCAAAAGGCTCTAGAGGAGGCACAGCAGCGCGTGGCAGAGGCGGAGGGCGGGAAGAAGGCCGCAGAGGAGGAGAACTGGAGCCTCGCAGAGAGGCTAGAAGGGCTGGAGGAGGCGCTGGAGGCAGCGAAGACCGACAATCGAGAGAAAGCCAAACTGCAAGACGAGGCTGAGCGGCTACGGAAGGAGGTAGAGGCGGCAGAGGGGCGGGCGGAGGAGCTCGCGGGGCAGGTGGAGGAGGCGAAGAGAGGGCTGGCGAAGGCGGTGGAGACAAAGCGAGCACTGGAGGAGGCGCTGCAGGCATCGAGGCGGCGGGAGGCCGAGCTGGAGGAGGCCGTGGAGGCGTCCAAGGCGGGGAGGCAGGAGACAACGGAGGTGCAGGAGGAGGCCGAGCGGCTCCGGAAGGAGGTAGCGACAGCACAAGGGCGGGTTGAGGAGCTTGAGCGTCAGGTGGAGGAGGCGCAGCAGCGCGTGGCAGAGGCGGAGGGCGGGAAGAAGGCCGCAGAGGAGGAGAACTGGAGCCTCGCAGAGAGGCTAGAAGGGCTGGAGGAGGCGCTGGAGGCAGCGAGGCGGCGGGAGGCCGAGCTTGAGGAGGCGATGCAAGCGACAAGGGCGGAGAAGGAGGAAGAAGGAGGAAGCGGAGGAGGGGAGGCTGACTCAGGGGAGGCTGAGCGGCTACGGAAGGAGGTAGAGGCGGCAGAGGGGCGGGCGGAGGAGCTCGCGGGGCAGGTGGAGGAGGCGAAGAGAGGGCTGGCGAAGGCGGTGGAGACCAAGCGAGCACTGGAGGAGGCGCTGCAGGCATCGAGGCGGCGGGAGGCCGAGCTGGAGGAGGCCGTGGAGGCGTCCAAGGCGGGGAGGCAGGAGACAACGGAGGTGCAGGAGGAGGCCGAGCGGCTCCGGAAGGAGGTAGCGACAGCACAAGGGCGGGTTGAGGAGCTTGAGCGTCAGGTGGAGGAGGCGCAGCAGCGCGTGGCAGAGGCGGAGGGCGGGAAGAAGGCCGCAGAGGAGGAGAACTGGAGCCTCGCAGAGAGGCTAGAAGGGCTGGAGGAGGCGCTGGAGGCAGCGAGGCGGCGGGAGGCCGAGCTTGAGGAGGCGATGCAAGCGACAAGGGCGGAGAAGGAGGAAGAAGGAGGAAGCGGAGGAGGGGAGGCTGACTCAGGGGAGGCTGAGCGGCTACGGAAGGAGGTAGAGGCGGCAGAGGGGCGGGCGGAGGAGCTCGCGGGGCAGGTGGAGGAGGCGAAGAGAGGGCTGGCAAAGGCGGTGGAGACCAAGCGAGCACTGGAGGAGGCGCTGCAGGCATCGAGGCGGCGGGAGGCCGAGCTGGAAGCCAAGGCTCAAGAGAATGGAATGCTCGGATCAGGTTCTGCTGTCAGTCAGTTTTCTTCGTTGCTGTCGAATGGTTTTTCTCCCTCCTCTTCGATTTCGAACGGTATCCTTGTCTTCTTGTCGTATAGGACTCTTACTCCTCTTCACCTTAGAGTTCATCATTCAGTTAGTGGATGCGTACTATTCGGAGCTGCGAGAGCTGCTGGGTCCGTTTGAGAAGAATGCTCCATTTCAGCAGCTGTTTCTTCATGTCTGCTCTCGCCTCGTGCTTGCTGCGTTTGACTTGGCTCGCAGGATCCTTCCGTCCACAAGAATGACTGCCAGACAGAGCTCCGATCTGCCTTCTCCCTGTCCTCCTCTCTCCTCATGGAGCTCAAGAGGATGTTGGATGCCTCCAGCTCCGTCCCGTCAGTCGATCCAGCAGGGGGAGAGCTAGAGGAGGCGAGGAGGGATGCGGAGGAAGCGAGGAGGGAGTTGGTCGAGACTCGAGAGAAGTCGCGTCAGATGCTCAAGAAAGCTGTGGAAGCGAAGAAGAACACGGAGGCAAGGCTGGCGGAGGTGATGGAGGAAAAGGCCCAGTTAGAGCAGAAGATGGGCTCGCAGGACAAGGGAGGGGAAGGAAATGAGGGGCTCCAGAGCAGCCTGAAGGAGCGGGAAGAGCAGCTGAAGGCACTGACCAAGAAGCTCAGTGACGTCTTGCTGGAGAAGGAGGAGCTCAAAGAGAAGATGGCGGTGGAAGTTCAGAGAGCTAGAGATGAAGGGATCGACAAGATGAGGATGGTGCAGAATGAGAAGGAGAGGGCCGTCGGTACCCTCCAGCGTCTCCAGACCGACCTGGCGTGCATGGAGCAGCGGGCCAAGGACGCGGAGTCTCGCATGTCCACCCACGACTCGAAGATGAAGGAGCTGACACATCGCCTCGAGGACAATGAGACGTGGAGGAAGAATCAGATCGCCGAGCATGACAGCATGAGCAAGAAGCTGAACGAGGCCGAGAGCAGGGTGAAGGCCCAGCAGGAGGAGATCAAGAGACTGAAGAAGGAGATCGAGAACGCAGCTGAGGCGCAGCTGGGAAGCGAGGGCCAGCAGGAGCACATTCAGAGCATGGCCACGGAGCTTGCGAGGGCCAAGTACCAGATCGAGAAGCTGGAGTTTGATCTGGAGGCGTGCAAGAGGGCGGGGGAGGCGGAGATAGAGCAAGTGAAGGAGACGTCGAAGCAGTTCCTGAAGAAGGCGGTGGACCAGAAGAAGCAGTCAGGGGTGAAGGTGAAGGAACTAGAGAGTGAGATCGAGAACTTGAAGGGGTGCATGCTGCTGCTGGAGGAGGAGCGGAACAGGGCCGTGCAGGACAACACGATGAACGTTGAGACTATCACTGGCCTCCGACAGGAGATTGAGGAGCTCAGCAAGGCCTGCAGAGCAACGGAGGATGAGTACAAGAAGTACAAGATCAAGGCGCAGAGTCTGATGAGGCAGCGGGCGGAGCCGCCGTCTCTCCACAAGTCCGAGGAGGCGGTGGAGAAAGAGCAAGAGATCGAGAGGCAGGCAACTCAGATCCTCTTGCTGCAGCAGAAAATTGCAGAACTCAACACGTCTCTGTCTGGAAAGGACGAAGTAAGGGAGGAGGGAGGAGGAGGAAGAGGAGGATAGTAATGTTTGCTCGTTGCAGGAGATTCTCTCGCTGGGAGACGAGCTGCACAGAGTCAGGAGAGAAGCGAGTGAGTGGCTGCGAGCCTTTCGCTCTGCCCGCATGACGACGGCTGGCAGGCGCCATCGAGGAGCGGAGGTCGCAGGAGGCGAAGGAGCAGCAACGGCAGGTTGCCAACCCTCGTGCTGCTGAATAGCAAGAAGTGACGCAAGGAGCAGATTGACTACCTCAGAAGTGTCTGTGCGGAGTTGAACAACAACAGAGAAACGATCAAGCAGGTGGGGGCTTCTCCACCCTAAACCCTAAACACCTTAGACCCTACAACTAAGCTGGCCCTTTACTCAAAGCTGGTCCTGTCTTCTCCCGGTAGTGACTTGCTGGATGTCAGGAAGTCAAGCTGGATCTTGATTCAACGATCTCGTCGCTCAGACAAACCATCCTCGTGAGTGCTGTCACTTGACTGACGTGGAAGAAGTTGAAGGGAGGGAGGATGCGTGGGAGGAGAGGCGTAAGACCGGAACGACCGGGACACTCTGACGCCTTCCGGTGCGCAGGCAAGGGAGAAGGAGATATCAGCAGTGAAACAACTCAACTCAAAGTTCCAGAAGCAGCTAGAGGAGGTGCCGCCTCTCCTCCCTCCCTCCCTCCCCTCCCTCCACTTCTTCCACGTCAGTCAAGTGACAGCACTCACGAGGATGGTTTGTCTGAGCGACGAGATCGTTGAATCGAGATCCAGCTTGACTTCCAACACGGAGATCTTGATGTGGGAGAAGACAGGACCAGCTTTGAGTAAAGGGCCAGCTTAGTTGTAGTCCAGCTGGTCCATTCTCCTGCAAACCTTCAGTAACATCTCCAAGTCCGAGGACGTGACGTTGGAAAGAGAAACGGAAACATTTCATTGATTCTGTGTGGCTGCTGCTGTCTCCCGGAACCTTCGAATCTTTGTCGACAATGTCTTTGCCGTCTCTATTCCGAGCACTCCACCAGTCCTTTCCTGTCTCGATTCACCCGACTCTCTCGGTCTCCATGCTTCTTGTCAGACCTCAGCTGATGCAGTGACTTCCCTACAGGTGAAAAAAGGAATCGCGTGTGAATCTCTGCTCTCGAGCGATCTCTTGAAA